CCTCTCTCCTCTCTCCTATCTCCTCTCTCCTATCTCCTATCTTCTCTCTCCTATCTCCTCTCTCCTATCTCCTCTCTCCTATCTCCTCTCTCCTATCTCCTCTCTCCTATCTCCTCTCTCCTCTCTCCTCTCTCATATCTCCTCTCTCCGCCCCACGCCTCCCTCCTTCCCCGATCCTGCCCCTACCGCGTCTCACCTCACCCTCTCAGGTCAATGCTTTCAACCTCGCAGCAGCCAGCAGTGTGACTCGGTGCGACATTCTGTGGCTTGGCTTTTCTCCGCCCCACACCCTCCTCCTTTCCTTACCGTGTCTCTGCTCACCCCCTCAGGTGAATGCATTCAACCCAGCAGTAGTGGGCAACGTGATGTGCCGCAACCTTATCAACATTGACTGGTGCGTGTGTATGGGCATGGCATGCCTAGCTGTGTGTGTGTATGGGCATGGCATGCCTGACTGTATGTGTATATGGGCATGGCATGCCTGGTTGTGTGTGTGTATGGGCATGGCATGCCTGACTGTATGTGTATATGGGCATAGCATACCTAGTTGTATGCATGTATGGGCATAGCATGCATGGCTGTATGTATGTATGGGCATGGCATGCTTGGCTGTATGTGTGTATGGGCATAGCATGCCTGGCTGTGTGTGTGTATGGGCATAGCATACCTAGTTGTATTGTATGCATGTATGGCCATAGCATGCATGGCTGTATGCATGTAAGGGCATAGCATGCCTGACTGTATGTGTCTATGGGCATAACATGCCTAGTTGTATGCGTGTATGTGCATAACGTGCCTGGCTGTATGCATGTATGGGCATGGCATGCTTGGCTGTATGTGTGTATGGGCATAGCATGCCTGTCTGTGTGTGTGTATGGGCATGGTATGCCTGGCTGTATGTGTGTATGGGGATGGCATGCCTAGCTGTATGTGTGTATGGGGATAGCATGTCAGGCTGTATGTGTGTATGGGCATAGCATGCCTAGTTGTATGCATGTATGTGCATAACGTGCCTGGCTGTATGCGTGTATGGGGATGGCATGCCTAGCTGTTTGTGTGTATGGGCATAGCATGCCTGGGTGTATGTATGTATGGGCATAGCATACCTAGTTGTATGCATGTATGGGCATAGCATGCATGTCTGTATGCATGTATGGGCATAGCGTGCCTAGTTGTATGCGTGTATGTGCATAACGTGCCTGAATGTACGCATGTATGGGCATAGCATGCCAAGCTGTATGTGTGTTTTGGGCATAGCATGCCTGACTGTACGTGTGTATGGGCATAGCATGCCTAGTTGTACGCGTGTATGTGCATAACGTGCCTGGCTGTATGCATGTATGGGCATAGCATGCCAGGATGTATGTGTGTATGGGCATAGCATGCCTGGCTCTGTGTTTGTATGGGGATAGCATGCTTGACTGTATGTGTATATGGGCATAGCATGCCTGGCTGTGTGTGTGTATGGGCATGGTATGCCTGGCTGTATGTGTGTATGGGGATGGCACTAGCTGTATGTGTGTATGGGCATAGCATACCTAGTTGTATTGTATGCATGAATGGGGATAGCATGCATGGCTGTATGCATGTATGGGCATAGCATGCTTGGCTGTATGTGTGTATGGGCATAGCATGCCTGGCTGTATGTGTGTATGGGCATAGCATGCCTAGTTGTATGCGTGTATGTGCATAACGTGCCTGGCTGTATGCATGTATGGGCATAACATGCCAGGCTGTATGTGTGTATGGGCATAGCATGCCTGGCTGTGTGTGTGTATGGGCATGGCATGCCTGACTGTATGTGTATATGGGCATAGCATGCTTGGCTGTGTGTGTGTATGGGCATAGCATACCTAGTTGTATGCGTGTATGTGCATAACGTGCCTGGCTGTACGCATGTATGGGCATAGCATGCCAGGCTGTATGTGTGTATGGGCATAGCATGCCTGGCTGTATGTGTGTATGGGCATAGCATGCCTAGTTGTATGCGTGTATGTGCATAACGTGCCTGGCTGTATGCATGTATGGGCATAACATGCCAGGCTGTATGTGTGTATGGGCATAGCATGCCTGGCTGTGTGTGTGTATGGGCATGGCATGCCTGACTGTATGTGTATATGGGCATAGCATGCTTGGCTGTGTGTGTGTATGGGCATAGCATACCTAGTTGTATGCGTGTATGTGCATAACGTGCCTGGCTGTACGCATGTATGGGCATAGCATGCCAGGCTGTATGTGTGTATGGGCATAGCATGCCTGGCTGTATGTGTATATGGGCATAGGATGCCTCTCTGTGTGTGTGTATGGGCATGGTATGCCTGGCTGTATGTGTGTATGGGGATGGCATGCCTAGCTGTATGCATGTATGGGCATAGCATGCCACGCTGTATGCATGTATGGGCATAGCATGCTTGGCTGTATGTGTGTTTTGGCATAGCATGCCTAGTTGTATGCGTGTATGTGCATAACGTGCCTGGATGTGTGTGGGTATGGGGATGGCATGCCTGACTGTATGTGTATATGGGCATAGCATTCCTGGCTGTGTGTGTGTATGGGCATGGTATGGCTGGCTGTATGTGTGTATGGGGATGGCATGCCTACTTGTATGTGTGTATGGGCATAGCATGCTTGGCTGTGTGTGTGTATGGGCATAGCATACCTAGTTGTATTATATGCATGTATGGGCATAGCATGCATGGCTGTATGCATGTATGGGCATAGAATGCCTGGCTGTACTTGTGTATGGGCAGAGCATGCCTAGTTGTATGCGTGTATGTGCATAACGTGCCTGGCTGTATGCATGTATGGGCATAGCATGCCATGCCGTGCGAGCTGGCACTGCCCGCTCTGGCCCGGTCTGTGCTGGTGACGTGCGTGCTGGCACTGTCTGCTATGGCATTTTGCTCATGCCACATATTCGTTTTTTGCGTGTCCCCCTCCTTTTAACCTCTCCTGCTCCTCTATCCATCCCTTCATTCATTCCTAGGTACCACGTAGGTCATCGCCAGCGTCCCCACAATTTCAGTCTATAATTTTCTCCTTACTGCCCTTTTTCTCCCTCCTCTTCTGTTATTCTCTTCCTCCCTTCCATCCCATGTAGTACTTCCGCACTAAACCTTAAACCCCAAACGCAATATCTAACACCATGAGTGCATATAAACAAATAAACAAATTATGTGGTCCACTTTTGAACGTATGTTGTGTTTCTATGATTCACCGGTGTACTGTGCAGGTCGTGTAGCGCGCGCTGTCTGTTCCAGCCGCAAGACAAAGAACATCTTCCAACACCAATTTCTATTGCTTGTTGGAACATTATGCGGGGACAAATTTGTGATTGCACGATGTTATCACTGTTCTTTAATTTGGATATAGGGGACTCCAACTATTAGGCTATTTGCGATGCTGCATGTGTCTGCTTGATTGTTGTTTGCATGAGAGGGGTGTGCATGGGTTTGATCAATACTATCTGTTTCGGGGTGTGTCTGCTGCTCTTAGTCTCTATGTGCATAGTGCGTGTGGCTGCAAGTGTCATAAGGCGTGGATTGTGTCTGCTTCGGACGTGTTGCTTATATGCAAGGTGTTGCAATTAGAGGTTGTCATCGTGCCTAGGGCAACTCCGTTGTCATCGCGCACCCCATCAATCTCTGTTGCAGCGTTGATGCATATATGCAATCGTTTCGTAGCACTCACAATCCTATTGTACATACATGTTCATTCCATCCACCGTATTTATCAACGAGATGGGGTGGTTGGCACGAGGTGTATTTGGATTGTGTTTGCTTCGAGCGTGCTGCTTTTAGGCTAGGTGTTGCAATTAGAGATTGTCATCGTGTCAGGGGCAGCTCTGCTGTCATCGTGCACCCCATCAATCTCTACTGCAACACTACTAATGCCTACATGCACTCGTTTTTTGGCATTTGCAATCCTACAGATTGTTTAATTATACATAAAATTTTGTTGAAATGTGTCATGCGGTCTGATTGTTCCATCCGCCGTACTTATCGACGCGATGGAGCAATTTGGAAATTTGGATTCATATTTTGGAGTTGCACCGAACAGTTAACTAAATTCTTAAAAATTTTACTGTTCGTATCAATGCTCCGAAATGTGAAACCGATTTTATAGGGTTGCTACGCAACCCAAAAATGACAGCATGAACTTACTTCAATATGTAGAAGATGTATAAGGTTTATGTACTAATTCGTTTTCATTAATACATGTGACTAGAAATGATTTGATAACTATTGGTGTGGTTTTTGGTAGACTATCGCCAAATTGTCCGTCCATGTGCGAGACTCCATGCCTGAAGGCGACTCGATGAGCAGGGTAGCCCTTGGTTCGGCTTTGCAGTTGTGTTTGTTCCTCCACTTGGCCTGGATTCCCGGTCTGGCAAGGGCCAAAGCAAGGGCAATTTTGCAGGACTCGAATTCCCTTGAATGCGGTCCGGAGCTTCGCATTTGCAGCTGCGCCTCTCGTGTTTGTTAGCCAATCAGAACTCTCCGTTCAGCCCCCTTTCCCCCGAATTCGCCCCTGCATCGCACCATCGTGTCAAATCGCATGCGCTTGCTTCTTTGCTGACGAGGTTGCCTCGTCGTGCAGTCGCATGACTCGCATCCCCCCAGTTGCACTTGCATCCGCGTCGCTCAACCCATCCGGTTTGTCGTCCTGCTTATCCTTGCTGAAGCTGCCACCCTAAACAACTGAATCGCATGCGGCAGGCGACAGCACATGAAACCCATTGCCGGCTGAGGACGACAAAACGAACGATAGTTGCGAGCTATGCGAGCCAACCACCACCTTCAGCCCTGCCATCCATCCCCCCATCCCCCTCCCATGAGATCGCACGGCGATCTACGCCTTCGCCCAGCAAGTCTGCGACGATGGCAACATCTCGGCCTCGAAAATTGCCTTCCCGCCAACCAGCCCTGGATTTCCCCAGAGCAAAACCCAAGGCCATCCCGCACCGCGCTTCCGTTCAGCTTTTATTTCTTGGAAATGTCACCCAAGCTTCACTGATCCGTCTCCTCGGGACCCAGCAATAATTGTTCTGGTCAAATTTGCCGCTGGTAGTCTATGAAGCGCTCATTACGGAGGGGAAGCTGCAGAATAGCTCTTAAAAGTGTACTCTTGGAAGTAGGTCTACTCTTAGCCATAGAACAGTACTGTTAGTTAGACTAGTTGGGTACCAGGTTAGATCAGGTGGCGAAGTCCCGTCGCGTTGATGAATGGCTCCGTAAGGACACATCTAAGACCCATGCGTCGCGACAATGGCACCGTTGCAGCAGCTGCAGCTCCCGGCAGTTTCGCCTGGAGAATCTAGCGGCGCGCAACATCGCGACGGCACCGAGATCAAGGTTGAAATCACGACCGTCGGTCCTTCTGACGAACCATCGCCGTCTGATCTGCTCACCAAGCGAAAGCGAGTCAACTGCCAGCCTGACAGTGACTGCGCACAGACTACTGGCAACCGTAGCCCTCCATCTATTCGTTATGGCGAACCCAGGTATAGTAACGAATACGCACTTAGCAAAACGCCGCTGGTCTGCGTCAGAGAACATTCTGACGAACCGACCAGCCCGAACCTGTCGACCAGCAGCGGACTACCGACAGGGGAACTCACAGGCCATGTAACGGTCACTTCGTGTGTAGCTGTCGGTCAGAACAGCCCTGCAGGCTCGGCTGTAGCAATGTCTACAGAAAAAGGACCTCCTTCGGAGCCGGCCTCTTTTTCTGGTAGGTCACAGAGCGTAAGCATCGTGGATACGGCAGCAGGAGGAACGGAAGCAACAGGCGCCGCGAGCAGAGCAGCAGAAGAAGCAGGAACGGCGGCAGGAGCAGCAGGCCCTGCGAACAGAGCAGCAGGACCGGCGGACGCGGATGGTGCATCAACCCCGGCTTTTGAGGTACCTCAAACATCAGAAACGACAGGAGCAGCAGGAACGGACGACGCGGCTGGTGTTTCAACCCCGCCGCGCGAGCTGCAACCGGCTAATCCGGCGTATGCCTTTCGCGCAAGCCTCTCCGCCCCTCCGCGCATTTCGAGCAAGAAGCCGCCCGACGGCATGCCGCTGCTGCGCCTCCCCCCGGCCCTGTCGCTCTCCGCGTGGGCGCAGGCCCCCCCGACGAAGCGGCAGCTTGGGCGAGATGACACGAGGAGAGATGGCGCGACGCGAGATGACACGCGGCTGGATTTTGGATTGCGGGGATTGAGCTATCACGGGGGTGGAGGATCGGACGGTCCAGATGGTCCTTGCTGGAAGAAGCCGCGCGGAGTTTTCTTGGGGGGACCGTCCTCGGGTGTGCCGTCCTCGGGTGTGCCGCCCTCGGGTGTGCCGTCCCCTGGGCTATCAGTTCCAACACCATCAGTTGCCGCCACGACTTTTGCCTCCCCCCCGTCCTCTTCCTCCCCCTCACCTCTCCGCCTTCCCTCTCCGCTCCGCCTCCCCTCCCCACTGCGCCTGAATTCCCCTCTCCGCTTCCCCCGCAACCCTTCATCCGCTTCCCCCGCCCTTGCGCCAGTTTCAGGCGGCCAGGCCCTCCCTGTTCCCCCTGCGACCCCGAATAACGGCGCGCTACCTTTCTACCCACAACCGTCCAGCTCACCCCTTGGATTGCTGCTTCCCCCCGCCAACACCGCCCCAAGCCCCCACACCACCGCGCGGGCGCAAACTTCCGTTCCGCCGCTGTCTCTTCCGCCTCCGGCTGCCCCATCCAACCCCCCGCAGCCTTCCCCCACGTCCGCTTCAGATGGGAGTTGGTGGGCGGCAGATGGCGCGAGCAGACGCAACCCCCCGCAACAGGAACCTGCCAATCCCCCTCACTACCGCGGGGTGCGGCTGCGCCCATGGGGGAAATGGGCGGCGGAGATCCGCGACACCGCCAACAGCGCGCGCTTGTGGCTGGGCACGTTCCCCTCAGCGGAGGCCGCCGCGCTGGCGTATGACGTGGCGGCGATGGCGATTCGGGGGAACAAGGCGAAGCTCAATCTCGAGCGGCACCGCGAGTTGGCGGTCGAGGTGCGCGATCTGGTGAAAGCGCTGAAAGCGGCGGCGCAAGCGGCGCAGGATGTGGCGGCGGCGCGCGCGCAAGCGGAGGGGGGCGCGGACGGTGGCGGAGAGGGGATGATAGGGTTTAAGGAGGAAATCGGGGCAGGGGAGGGCGCGGAACGAACAGGCAATGCCGATCAGAGGGCTGCTGCGGATGGTGGAAGAGGCGAGGACGGAAAGAAAGCGGGTGCAGCAGCAGCAGCAGCAGCGGCAGCAGCAGGAGGAGAAATTGCGGCTATCGCTTCAGGAGCGGGAGCTTCTTCCAAGCCAGAGGAAGCGTTGAAGCAAGAACAAGATGATCAAGGGCCCTTGTCAGAGACAGAAGCGGCGGAAACGGGGTGCGAAGGAGCGGGAGAAGGCTCAGGTATGGGGCGAGAGGAGGCGGGAGGCTCCCACGCGCAAGAGAAGAGCGAGCAGGTGACGGAGAAGGGAAGCGGGCAGGCCGACGGGCAGGCGGACGAGCAGCACGACGGAAAGGCAAACGGGCAGGCAAACGGGCAGGCACCCCCTCCGCCGCAGACCCCCCTTCTCCACGTGGTGATGGGGAAAGTGGTGAATACTATGGTGGAGAAATACGGCGCGCTGATGGGGGGTTTAGCCCGGGGAGCTGGCGCGGATGGGAGAAACGGCGGAAGTGGGGGAAGTGGGGGAAGTGGGGGGAACGCGGAGGGGAGGATGGCATCAGCGGGAGGTGCTGCAGCGAGTGTGGGGATGGGGAAAGTGGGGAATACCATGGCGGAGGACTATGGCGCGGGGATGGGGGAGCTGCTGCCCAGGGGCGCTGGCGCGGATGGGGGTGCTCTGGGAAGCGGGGGAATTGGGGGGAGTGGGGGGAGAGGGGGAAGTGGGGAGACAAGAATGTTTGCAGCGGGTGCTGTGAGTGATGGTAGGGGAGGGTTTGCAAGAGAGGTGCGGGAGGAAGGAGGCCGAATTGAGCAGGCTGCATCCCCGTTACAAGCTACTTCGTCTCAGCAACAAGTCTCTCCCACGCAATGCCAAGCCTCCCCCATGGAATGCCACACCTCCCCTGTATTACAACCACTCGTGAAGCTTGAGCAGGTTACTGCTTTTAACGAGTCGGCTTATAAAGGAGCTGGCTTGCCAACAGGGAAAGCTGCCACAGTGGGTGCTGCTGCCCCTTGTGTCTCACCTCCGCGTGTGATTTTAGGAACCGTGCTTACAGCGGGGTTGGCAGGCCCATATTTTGAACATACGGCTCCTCCCAAGAGTGCGTATAGGGAGGAGGCTTGTAGAGGGGATGGGGGCGGCAGCAGCAGCAGCAGTGGTGGCGGCAGGGGAGGGCGGAGTAGCAGCAGCAGCAGCAGTGGGGGCAGGAGCAGCAAGCAGAGCGGGAGGGATGTGGCAGATGGCATAAGTGGTGGTGGGGCAGGTGAAGCGGTAAAGATGGAACTAGATGGAGGGATGCCGGAAGCAGGCGGGGTCTATGGAGGGGCGCAAGGCGGAGGGGGGGTTTATGGAGGGGTGCAAGGCGGAGGGGGGGTTTATGGAGGGGCTCAAGGCGGAGGGGGGGTTTATGGAGGGGTGCAGAGCGGAGGGGGGGTTTATGGAGGGGTGCAAGGCGAAGGGGGGGTTTATGGAGGGGTGCAAGGCGAAGGGGGGGCTTATGCAGAGTGTACGGACGGTGGGAGAAGGCAAGGAGGATTTGCGGGCTCTGTGCAATGTGCATTTGAGCTGACTCAGAAGCCACCTCAGCAGGGCGGTGGGGGGAACTTTGGGGCATCAGAGGGCATGCATCAAACGCCACGTGGCATGGGACCACCATCACAAGGCATGGCACCACCATCACATGGCATGGCACCCCCATCACATGGCATGGCACCCCCATCACATGGCATGGCACCCCGATCACATGGCATGGCACCACCATCACATGGCATGGCACCACCATCACAAGGTATGGATGGGGCTTCGCATGGCATGGCACCACCACTACATGGCATGGCACCACCACTACATGGCACGGGACCACCACTACATGCCATGGGTCAAGCCTCACATGGCCTGGCACCTGCTCTTGCCTGCCTTTGCCATCATTCCCATGCGCACATGCAGCCGCAGATGCATGCGCACATGCAGCCTCACAGCCAGGCACAGAACCATGCACACACAGAGCCTCGGGCCCTCTCTCAGGCCCTATCACTCACTCAACCACACTCACAACAACACGCTGCAGAACGATCTGGTGAGCTTTACACAGAAGCTCACAATAACGAAGAGAAAGCAGCCGAGGAGAGTGGAAGCAGGAGGGCAGAAGAAGCAAATTTCTACTCCACAGAACAGGGAGGAGAGGGAAGGGGGATGAGGGCGGAAGGAGGGGCGACGGGGGCAGTGGAAGGGGCAGAAGGACCGGGGCTGGGTATGCTTGCCCAGGGTACCAGGCTTGGCGCCTCCAGGTTCGGAGTCGAACCTCACAGGTTCGGGATCGAGGACCTCAAGTTCGAGATTCTTCAGAGCCAGGAGGTCGAGGGGGAGGACGAGCCGTGCCTGCTGCCCATGCCTGACGGTCAGGAATGGGAGAGGTTCGGCTCGGACCTGCCATACCCAAATGAGCAGGATCTCACAGGGTGGCGGTTAGTGAGTGACTCTATAACGGAGACAGGCACGGAAACCGCGGGTGCCATGCCTACAGTAACAGCTGCTACGGATACAGGTGCTACTGCAACGGATTGTGATGGGCTGAGTAGTGACTTTAAAGGGCTGACGTGCTCTGGGAATCTTGGGAGGAGCGAAGGGGGGAGCCAAGGAGTGAGCGTTCCAGGTATCGAGATGTGTGCGCATACTGTGGCAAGTGTGCGAGGTTTTCACCAGGCCGCGGCTCAAGTGCCACCTGGCCAAGTGCCACCTGTCCAAGTGCCACCTGCACATAAGCACGCTACTGGTTGCAGTTGCGGCTGGTGCATCGGAGGGCAAGGGCAGGAGAGGGAGCAAGGTTGGCAGGAGCACCAGCAACAGGATAAACAGCAGCAAGTGCAGCGACAAGTGCAGCAGCAACAGGAACAGCAGCAGCAGCAGCAGCAGCAGCAGCAGCAGCAGCAGCAGCAGCAGCAGCAGCAGCAGCAGCAGCAGCAGCAGCAGCAGCAGCAGCAGCAGCAACACCAGCAACAGGAGCAACAGGAGCAACAGCAGCAAGTGCAGCGACAAGAGCAGAAAGAGCGACAGTACCCCCAAAATCAGCAGAATGTAGAGTGGCAGGAAAAATCATATCAGACGCAGCATTGGCAACATCGGCACAGCCAGCAGCAACAAAGCCACCAGCAGCAGTGGCAGCAGGAGTGGTACCAGCAGCCGCAGTGGCCACAGCAGTGTAACCAGCAGCAGCAGCAGCGGCAGGGGCTGCTGCAGCAGCAGCAGCAGCAGCAGCAGTGGCATCCGCGCCATCAGCAGCAGCCAGTGCCAGAGCATACACAACAGAGGCCCCAGCAAGGGGCTTGGACGAATGACGACCAGCAGCAGCAGCAGCAGCAGCAGCAGCAGCCACAGCAGCAGCAGCAGCGGCAGCAGCAGCATCAGCCACGGCGGCAGCAGCATCAGCAGGTGCAGCAGCAGCAGCAGCAGCAGCAGGTGCCAGGGCAGCAGCAGTGCCAGTGCTGTCAACACGTGAATCACTCTCAGCAGGAGCGGGTGCAAGCACAGCAATTGGTGTGGCAGCAGCAGCAGCAGAATCAACAGCAACAGCAGCAGCAGCAGCAGCAGCAGCAGCAGCAGGGGCAGCAGCAGCAGGGGCAGCAGCAAGTGCAGCAGCAGCGCCAACAGCAGTACCTTCCACATCAGGCGGTTGGGGGTACCGTGCATTACCATGGGCCAAACAAGGTACGTGGTGGGCGCTTATGTGGGGAACAAATAGCTATGGTTAAGTAGTTTAGTTTTGAGACATCTCAAAACCTTCCACATCAGGTGGTTGGGGGGCCCCGTGCACTACCATGGGCCAAACAAGGTACGTGGTGGGCGCTTATGGGGGGGACAAATAGCTATGGTTAAGTAGTTTAGTTTTGAGACATCTCAAAACCTTCCACATCAGGTGGTTGGGGGCCTCGTGCATTACCATGGGCCAAACAAGGTACGTGGTGGGCGCTTATGGGGGGGACAAATAGCTATGGTTAAGTAGTTTAGTTTTGAGACATCTCAAAACCTTCCACATCAGGTGGTTGGGGGCACCGTGCATTACCATGGGCCAAACAAGGTACGTGGTGGGCGCTTATGGGGGGGAAAAATAGCTATGCGGGACATAAAGAACTCTTATGGGGGGGAAATTTTGAGGCGCCTCAAAAATGGGAGATTTGGGATTGGAAACGGCAGGAGGGAAGGTGAGAGCGTTGGGTGGGGAGGCACGTTTTGTCCCACTCTCCGTGGGATCAGCAATGGAGAAGAGTGTGATGATTAGGTGACTTTTGAGTTACCTAAACGAAACGAGGTGAATTTTGAGCTACCTAAACGAAACGAGGTGACTTTTGAGTCGACTCAAAAGTCACCTCGTTTTGTCCCGCTCTCCGTGGGATCAGCAATGGAGAGGAGTGTGATGATTACGGGTTACGTTACTGGGCGCTTGCTGTTTGTTTTTGCAAGTCTCAAAAACGCTCTCCATGGGATCAGCAATGGGGAGGAGTGTGATTATTAGGGGTTACGTTACTGGGCGCTTGCTGTTCTTGAGTCGACTCAAAAGGAGGTGTTCCTCCCTAGAATGCTCAGGTGTCGAGGGCATCTTAAGACCAAAGAAAAGGGTTGACAGAGGCTTCTATTCAGACTAGATAAGGCCTCGGATCAAAGTACTTTCTTGATTTGAGACGCCTCAAAACAAGTTCTTTCCTCTTTTCTCTCTTCTCGCCCCCCTTCTTTTTTGTTCCTTTCTCTCTATCTCTATCTCCCCATCACTTCGCATCTTCCTCCCACCTCCTGCGTTCACCTCTCAACTCTCACGCAATGCCGCCTTCGCCTCTCCCCTGCTTCTCCCTCCCTTTTCTCCACTCCATCCCCCGTGCCTGCTTCCACTCCTAACAGGCGAATCACCTGCCTGAAGCACCTGCCCAGGCTCTCTCGTTAGCCTTAGAGTCTCAGGAGCAAACCCATGGGCACATGCAAGTTCACCGGAGAATAAGCGGGTTACATCAGCAGACGCGTGAGCCTATCAGCAGCAATCTCGATCAGCTTCCCAGGGGTTTGGAGCATGGGTCGGCCCATGTGCACCACGTCGCATCACTGCCGCCCATGCATGTGTGTGGTGGATCAGCGCACGGGCATCATGGCGTGACGTGCTGTGGGGCACCACGCGGCATGCAGCAGCAGCAGCAGCAGCAGCAGCAGCAGCAGCATTACCAGCAACAGCAACAGCAACAGCAACAGCAGCAGCAGCAGCAGCAGCAGCAGCAGCAGCAGCAGCAACAGCAGCAGCAGCAACGGCAGCAACAGCAGCAGCAATACCAGCAGCAACAACAGGAGCAACACCAGCAACAGCAGCAGCAGGAGAATCACCAGCAACACCAGCAGCACCTGCAACAGCAGCAGACACAGCAACAGCAGCAGCAGGGACGGGGCCAGGGACAGGCCCAAGGACAGGGACAGTTACACTGTGATGGTAACCAGCCAGGTCATTCTAACCCTCTTCAGGTGTGTTTCTGCGGACTCGCCTCATGCTTGGAATCAAGTCGCACAAGTCAGCAGTTCTCTGCCACAACTGCCACACACACTACATGTGCTCCTGGTGCTACTGGTGCTACAGGTGCTTCTGCTGCCGCTGTTGCTACTGGTGCTACTGGTGCTGCAGGTGCTACAGGTGCTACTGCTGCCGCTGTTGCTGCTGGGGCTGGAGTTGCCAGGAATCCTGCTTTTGAGTCGACTCAAAAGCGGAATCCTGCAATTCAAGTTGCAGCAGCTCCAGCAGCAGCTGGAGCCACAGGCATTGCAGAAGCCTCTGCGTTGAGTAGCCAGCAGGGCTGTTATCCCGTGCACTGCTCCACAGCTTCTGTATGTGACTATTCAAGAGATGTCTCCTCTTCTCGACGCTGCTCCTGCGGTAGTGGTGCAAGCCATGGCATGCCCCATGGAGCCATGCAGGATGCTGTTCATGGGTCATGCGCTGCGGTGCATGGGAGCCACGCTACTGTTCATGGGTCATCCGCTGCTATTCCTATGAGCCATGCGCCTCAGCATGGCAGCATGCAACACATGCATGGAAGCGTGCAAAACAGCATGGCAACCCCCCAGTCGAGGCCCATACTCATCCATCCAACCAGCAGCGGCGGCATGCATGTATCTGCAGCAGCGTCTGCACATGGATCTTCGTTAACTCCCCTGGCTCCCCTGGCTCCCTTGCCTCCCCCTCCCCATGCTCCCAGTGCTGCCCGCAGCAAGAGCCTATCCTCCCTCCCCATCCTCCCCACCGCCATCCATCCACCTCCCAAAACCAACCGATCCTTCTCCCAAAAACCAGCTTCATACCACCCTCCCTACAGTAGCAGCCACGGGGACGCCAACGCGCGGCTCTCTCCCCCCATCCCTGCCCCTTTCCACGCCCTCAGCAGCTGTGAAACAGCCTGCTTCGACACAGCGAGCCTTGAAACGGCTTACATCACACGCACAGAGCAGTTCCCAATGTCAAACCAGGCAGCTTCATACTCCACTTCTGCTGCTGCTGCCGCCAGTTCTGCTGCTGCTGCTGCTGGTGCCTCCACTGCCCCCACTGCTCTCCCTTGCCCTCCATACCCCATGGCTGTTCCTCCTCCTCCCCCCTACATGTCCAATCCAGGCTTTCCCCCATCCTCCGCCTTCCAACCATCTGCTCCCGCTCCCCGGCCTCCCACCACCGTCCCACCACAGACTATTTATTACACCACTGTCGCACCTTGCTCCGATGCCCCGTCGCACCACCACCCCTCTCCCTCCACTTCTGCTACACCGCTCTCGCCTACTCCACCTGAAAATTCACCTGAGCTCGCAACCGCCCCACCTGACATATCGTCCCTTCTGCCAAACCCACACCCCTCCCCTCCCCCTGCTCTCACTCCTGCCGAACCAGCCCAATCCGGCCCTCCATTCTCCACGCCTCATTCTCACCCAACCCAGTCTAGTTCCCACTCTGCCCCTCCTTGCATCCCAGCCCAGCCTGCTTCTGACCCGTTCTTCTCCCCCTCTCCGTCCACCACCCCCCCATCCTCCTCCCCTCTCCCTCTAGTCACCCCTGCTCACCAGCTCTCCTCTGCACGCGTGCTACTGTTTGATGCACCCTCCCCCGCTAGCTCACCAGCTTTTAACGAGACCCAAAGCTGTGCGGTGGTCGCTGGGTCTGCTTCCGCACAGACCTTGAGTCAAGCACCCCCGGAGCATGGTCACTTGGCACATCTGTTCTCCCCTTCGGCCTCCTCAAGCCCGCCAGAACTCACCCTCTCAGTCGACCGTGTCTCTTCTGCTGCTGCTGAGGCAGCCCAGCAGAATCCGCCCTTTCAGTCGGACCCATCTGAGCAAACAGCTCCTCCCGGGCATCCTACAGCACTAGCACCAGCACAACCACAAGCACAAGCAGCTGCACCTCCCTCAGTTGTTGTCGCCCTTCATCCCACTGCGCCTGCAGGGAGTGGATCCGGCCTACCCAGTCTTCCTTTCTCCCCTCCACCTCACCCTGCCACAAATTTTCCCATTATCTTCAACCCCTCGCAAAATCAGTCCGGAAGGGCTGATTTGGAACCTTGGCAAGGGGAGGCGTGGCCTGGGGAGGGATTATCCGGCGAAGGTTTTTTCATTGAGGAGTTTCATGGGCCAGATAGATGGGCGGGAGATGGGTGGCTGGGAGGAGCATGGGAGCCGGATTGGACCGGGGAAGGGTCGCAAGGAAGCGGAGGTGGGCAAGTGAGTGGATCTCATGGTGGAGTGGGTTTTGCATGAATTTGGAAGGTTCAGGAGTTCGTAGGTTTAGGGTGTGCGAAAAGGTGTTTTGTGATAGCTTAAGGAGATTTAGCTCAATATGGATATATATATACTATAGGTATATGTGTTGGTAGCTATTTAGGGATTTGCATTCATGATTATGGTTTGATTCCCTCATAAATGATTTGTATGAAGAATGCTCTCCTTTGAACGACGTGAAGCAACTTTACTTGTCCCAGTTCTTGGGCGTTTTTCGTCAGGCCGCCGCGGCCCTTCTGGTCCCAGGAACCTCCACCTTCCCGCCAACTACCCATGTTACCATCGCATCGAGGATGTCGCCGCGCCCTCGCTTCTGTCGCTTGACCCTCAGGATTGTCGCTGTCTCTCTGACAGCCACCAGTTGGCGTCAGCCGATGGGGGCAGGTAGGGGAGGAAGGGAATGGTATTGTATGGAAGAGGGATCTCACAGTCACACGCCCTGAAAGGAAACCCAACCCACCCTGAGGAATCTAGGGAACTCGTTGAAAGCCGAATTCAAGGGAGAAACCTGCCAAGACTGGGGACAAGCCAGCCAGTTGACAAGGCACCTTGACGTTCGCTTTGCTTGCAAGGATCTTCTAATCAGGACCTTTTTAGTTACGAAGGCCCGCCGGATCTCGCGATCTGTGCCCGAAGGGTGGTTCTTCTCTCTCAGAACCGAATTCGGAATTAGGTCTCTTGAGTATTTTTGTTTCGGTCGTGGCTTAGCAGCTATCAGATCTCTTTCAGGAGAACTCAAGCATGGCGGATTCATTGAGTTTACGTTGTAGGGTGCTTGCGGCTGTCCTCCTGGCGGCTGTCATTGTCGTGGATGCCAGTGCAAGTGACCATAGATATGGCCAAGGCGACAAGGTGCCTTTCTACGCCAACAAAGTCGGTCCTTTTCACAACCCGAGGTGTGATGACGTGCTCCTAATTAGGACTTGTCTTTGTATCATTAACCTCTGAAACTGGGCGTATATGTCTCCTTTTTTTAATTGCTTGTTGTGTTTCCGCTCCCACTGGCCGTCTCTTGAAATTTAGGTTTTCCTGTTTTTAACTAACGTAAACGCAATCCGCTTGGACCGACTCGTTTTTCGCAGTGAAACGTACAAGTTCTTTGATCTGCCGTTTTGCCAGCCAGGTCCGTTTTCCATTCATAGCTCTCCGCGAGATTCTCTAAATTCTTCTTCTATGCTTGCGTTGTTGCACCTGCTACTCGCTGCTCGTTATACCTCTCGCCTCTTCACTTTCGTTCGCTTCTATTGTGTGTCTGATGTATCTGTACACAGGGAAGATTAATGAGAAGCTGGAAGATCTCGGCGAGGTTCTGAACGGCGATCGCATGGTGCAGGCCCCCTACGAGCTCAACTTCCGTGTGGATCACGAGCGAACCACGCTCTGCAAGCGCACGCTCGCCGTTAAGGACGTCCAGAAGTTCCGCGACGCGGTCATGAACGACTACTATTTCCAGATGTACTACGACGATCTCCCGATCTGGGGTTTCATCGGCAAGGTCGACACGGATCCCAAGAACCAGCACTTTTTCCTCTTCACGCACGTGCATTTCGAGGTAGAGTTCAACAACGACCGCGTGGTGGAGATCAGCGTCGCGACGGATGCGGGTACCGCGGTAGACATTACGGAGGATAAGGAGATGGAGGTGGAATTCACGTACTCTGCGAAGTGGAAGGAGACCACCAAGTCGTTTGACAAGCGCATGGACAAGTACTCGCGCTACTCGTTCCTGCCTCAGCATCTGGAGATCCACTGGTTCTCCATCATCAACTCGTGTGTCACCGTGCTGCTGCTCACCGGCTTCCTGGCCACCATTCTCATGCGCGTCCTCAAGAACGACTTCATCAAGTAAGCGAAATGGCTCTTATGAAGTCCATCATAAGGTCTCGTCTGAAGTGAGATGAATTTTCCGGACTGAATATGCTCTCAGCTGAACGAATGTAGTTGCAGCGGACTGCAATTCTCCCGAATGAGCCGTTTCGCGTTTTATTCGACGCTACAGCTGGTTACGTAGTCTCAGGGGGTTACCCTATTCTCAAAACTCCGTTTCGTGTTTGATTCAGCGCTGGATTCGCTACGGATTCGCTACTATAGGCTATGGGCCCAGTAGGGTTTCGCTGCATCGCTCTCAGGATTCACCCGCCATGGAAATGCTTCTTTGCCGTGTGATTCAGGTACTCGCGCGACGAGGAGTCGTCTGAGGAGCAGGAGGAGACGGGCTGGAAGTACATCCACGGCGACGTCTTCCGCTTCCCCAAGAATAAGGACTTCTTCTGCGCCGTGCTTGGCAGCGGCACGCAACTGCTCTTCCTGTGAGTTTGATTGCCTTAGCGTTTTGACACACTCTTCCAGCGTCGCAATTCGGTTAGCTTTCATCTAATGCATCGCTGCAGTCACTCACGAGACTCATCAAGTTGCACTCTATTTCCGTTCGTGCCCGTTCTCGCCCAGGGTAATTTTCATCTTTATCCTCGCGCTTGTGGGGGTGTTCTACCCCTACAACCGCGGTGCTCTGTGGACGGCGCTGGTGGTGATCTACGCGCTGACCTCGGGTATTGCTGGCTACACGGCAGCGTCTTTCTACAAACAGATGGAGGGCACCAACTGGGTGAGTGCAATGTAATTTTGTAACCGGCTGGAGACAAAGGGAATGGAAACCAAAGGGCGTTGTTATTCTGTTGAGTGAGTCTTGGGCTTTGGCTACACGGCTGCGTCTTTCTACTAGCAGGAGGGCACCAATGGAGCGAGTGCAACTGAATTGTGTAGCCGGCTGGGGAGGAAGTGAACAGAGACCAGGAAAGCTGCAATTTTGTTTAAGACTACCCTGGTTTTGCCAGAAGGCATGTACCAAGCAATGCAGGAAAGGAGTTGTTTCACGTCCTTCCCCTGGAGCAACCAAGAATAAGCTCGTAGGTTCCCTATGTGTGGCACTGTTCGCCTGCACACAAGTCTGGTTCTGATGCACTGCGACTCTCTTCTGAGAGTCATCCCACACGATACGAGTCTGTCCCTGAGGCGCCTCCTGCCTTGTTCCCCCCCCCAACATTCCTGTAAGTCGCACCTGCCATTCTGCTCCTCTCCTCCCCTTCCTCTGCCCACCCCCCCCTCCCCACCCCCCTGCCCCCCCGTGCCCCCCCACGCCCCTCTGAAATGCAGGTTCGCAACATTCTGCTGACGGGCTGCATGTTCTGCGGCCCTGTCTTCATCTCCTTCTGCTTCCTCAACACCGTCGCCATCGTGTACAACTCCACCAACGCCAAGCCCTTCGGCACCATTGTCATCATCATCCTCATCTGGGCGCTTATCACCTTCCCTCTCCTCGTTGCTGGGGGCATCGCCGGCAAGAAGAGCAACGCTGAGTTCCAGGCCCCCTGCAGGACGACCAAGTACCCTCGCGAGATCCCGGTGCTGCCGTGGTATCGGCACACGGTTCCCCAGATGGCTATGGCTGGTTTCCTGCCGTTCAGCGCGATTTACATCGAGCTGTATTACATCTTTGCGAGCGTGTGGGGGCACAAGGTGTACACGATCTACAGCATCCTCTTTATAGTGTTCATCATCCTCATCATTGTGACGGCGTTCATCACGATCGCGCTCACGTACTTCCAGCTTGCAGTGGAGGACCACGAGTGGTGGTGGAGGTAAGATAGTCTAATTCCCTTGCTCGCTTCGTCTTTACTGCTGGCCCTCGTCTTCTCAAACTTAAGCTTCATGTGGGAACACAGTTTGCAATTTTGCCTTGGTGAGCCTTCCGGTGTCACTTGTGGTGTGTGAGTCTCCTGCCTCGTTATTTTCCCCTCCTTCCCGTCCTTCCACACTCGCCCCCCTGCTGTGAACTTCCCGTGGGCGCACCCCCTGTCCCTGTTCCCCTTTCCCCATCCTTCAGGTCTGTGCTGTGCGGTGGCTCTACGGCTCTCTTTATCTTTGGCTACTGCTTCTACTACTACTATGCGCGCTCCGACATGTCGGGCTTCATGCAGACGTCCTTCTACTTCGGCTTCATGGCGTGTGTGTGCTACGGCTTCTTCCTCATGCTCGGCACCGTGGGCTTCAGGGCGTCTCTGTCCTTTGTGCGCCACATTTACCGCTCCATCAAGTGCGAGTAAGTATCTTCCAAAAGTGGGGGTGGGGGAGAGGCGGGGGGCTGGGGAGAAAGGGAGAGCAGAGATGGCTTCGTGGCGTGTGTGTGCTACGGCTTCTTCCCCATGCTCGGCACCGTGGGCTTTCAAGCCTCACTGTCCTTAGTGCGACACATCTACCACTCCTTCAAGTGCGAGTAAGTACCTTCCAGGTGGGGGGGAAGAGGGGAGTGGGGGAAAAGGGGAGAGCAGAGGTGGCGTCATGGCATGCGTGTGCTACGGCTTCTTCCTCATGCTCGGAACCGTGGGCTTCAGGGCGTCACTGTGCTTTGTGCGCCACATCTACCGCTCCATCAAATGCGAGTAGGTACCTTCTGGAAGGGGCGGGGGGTGTTTGGGAGTGGGTACTGAAGAGAAACGGAGAGAGGAGGTGGCCTCATGGCGTGTGTGTGCTACTGTTGCTTTCGTATGCTGGGCACTGTGTCGTTCCGGGCTTCCCTTTCCCTATGCTGTGTGCACCACGTCTACTGCTCCATCAGGTGTGAGCAATCATCGTTAGGGGGTGGGGAGAGGGGTAAAATTGCGGGTAAGAGAGGGAAGGGGGGGGGGTTGGGGGGGAGGAGAGGGTAGAGGTGGCTTAGGGCCGCGCTCTTAAGTGCACCACGTTCACCGCTCTGTCCAGATTCTTTCAGGTGGGGTTGTGCTTGGGGTCTGTTTGGGGGATAGTTGCGCTGTCCGGACCTCTCCCTCGTTTGTGAGCTACATCTCCCGCTCCACCGATTGTGAGGAGAGGGGGAGGGAGAAGGGAGGGGGGGTTGGGGGGGTGTAGTTATTGACCGAGGAGAGCAGTGTAGAGAGGGAGGGTGGGAGGGAGGCATCAAGTGCGTCACTGAGATGGGGCTTGTTGCTCAGTGCAGTGGTGGGAATGAGAGTTGGGTGCTGAGTAGAGAAGTGGTGGCGGACTGGGGAGAGTGGTTGGGTGAGGTTGATTGAATGAGGAGGAAATAAATCTTGATATATTCTTACTTCTTCTTTCGGTGCCCCTGGTATCCATCCTTATGCCCCCCTGCAGCTGAACGGCTGAGGCCTCTGGGATGTGAAATGTCGTGTTCACGGCATGTAGCGGCAGTCTCCTCACGACACTTGATCGTGGAAGTAGTGATGGCATTCATGGCAGTGATTCTGTACTGTACTAAACATTTTGGATTTCCCTTAGCTAGCATGGATGCCACTAGTGATAGCGTGCGGATCAGATACTTTTATTCTGTAACCTAGATAATTGACAGCATGATGAAGCACCGCAACCATATGGTCACTGATGTTATGCGAAATTGTGCTGAACAAACCTCATGTGTGAATGGTTGGCTTAGCTGGCCAATGCCACTAGGAAAAGTTTCTAAGAAAGATGTGAATTATTTATAACAAGAGACACAACTGTAGCAGCATTCCTTAGCATGTACATTCACGCCAGTTCGACTGGAGTATACTGTGATGCACTACCAGTCCACTGTTCTGGCACCTGCAACATTGTGCAGCTTTTGCTTATGTGCGGCCTCCAGCTCCTCCTGCAACACAGGAAGTGATGCATGGCCGTTGGCCAGAAGATGCAACAAATCAGCACAAAAGATTGACTGGGAAGGGTTTCAGGATTCTTTACCTTGTAAGCCGCCAGCAATGGCTTCTGAGGCGCCTCAAAAGGTTTCTGTAGCATTTTCCTTTCAAGGGTGTCATGTCAGGATGCATTAACTTCATAACCTTGGGAGCAGCCAGCAACGGCTTTTGAGGCGCCTCAAAAGATTTCTGTAGCATTTTCCTTTCAAGGGTGTCAGGATGCATTAACTTCAGTACCTTGGAAGCAGCCAGCAATGGCTGCAGGAAGCTCTCTCGGAAGAAATTTATGGAAGGAGCGAGTGACGTCGCCTCGATGCCTGCCGAGCAACGCCATGCACAACAAGCCCAGTCCTTAGCAAAAAGAGCATGCAGACAACAAATGAACGAAATAACGAAAAAAAAAGGGAGGGAGGGCGGGACGGAGGGAGTAGAACAAGGAGCAGAGAGTCCCACCTGAGGTTGCAGCAGAGTTGCCGTCAGGGGGGCGGTGAGCCGCATTGATCTCTTCCACTAGCTGGCGCGGAGGAAGGGGTGATGAGAACGGGGCGAGATGGAAGGGGTGATGAGAACGGGGCGAGATGGAAGGGGTGATGAGAACGGGGCGAGATGGAAGGGGTGATGAGAACGGGGCGAGATGGAAGGGGTGATGAGAACGGGGCGAGATGGAAGGGGTGATGAGAACGGGGCGAGATGGAAGGGGTGATGAGAACGGGGCGAGATGGAAGGGGTGATGAGAACGGGGCGAGATGGAAGGGGTGATGAGAACGGGGCGAGATGGAAGGGGTGATGAGAACGGGGCGAGATGGAAGGGGAGGCAAGGAATGACGAGGAGTAGGTGAGAGAGGGATGGGGAAGGCGAGCTGCACTAATCTCGTCACTAGCTGGGGAGATGGAAGGGGTGATGAAGAAAGGGGCGAGATGGAAGGAGAGGAAAGGTATTACGAGGAGAAGGCATTGTAGGGAATCGATAGGGGGCAAGGCAGAGCTTGTGGGGAATCGATAGGGGGCAAGGCGGAGCTTGTGGGGAATCGATAGGGGGCAAGGCGGAGCTTGTGGGGAATCGATAGGGGGCAAGGCGGAGCTTGTGGGGAATCGATAGGGGGCAAGGCGGAGCTTGTGGGGAATCGATAGGGGGCAAGGCGGAGCTTGTGGGGAATCGATAGGGGGCAAGGCGGAGCTTGTGGGGAATCGATAGGGGGCAAGGCGGAGCTTGTAGGGGGTAAAAAAAAACATGTTGGCACCTGATTGAGTGTGGGGGCTTGACTTGGCTCGAAGTCAGCACAGTTGGCCGGGTCAATTGGGACACACACAGCACCTGAGATACAGCAGAGGAGAGGAGAGGAGAGGAGAGAAGGAGAGGAGAGGAGAGGAGAGACGTTGAGCTCAAAGCCAGCACAGCTGGTTGGACCTTAGAGGACACACAAATTACCTGAGCGTCGGAAGATTTTTGAGTCGACTGAAAAGGTGATTTTTGAGTCGACTCAAAGTCGGCACAGCTGGTTGGGTCTATGAGAGGACACACATCACTGTCAGCACAGTTGGCAGGGTCAATTGGGACGGCATGCATCACCTGAGTAATTTTTTAGAATTCTAAAAAGTGACTCCATGGGGAGTGAGGGGAGATGAGAACGCACTGTGACTTATGAGTCGACTCAAAGTCCTTTTGAGTCGACTCAAAAGAATGATAAGAAATGACTCCATGGGGAGTGAGGGGAGATATGAACGCACTGTGAAACTCAGCCGAATTCGTGCGCCTTTCTGTAATGAGCTCACGTTTAAACAGAGACGTGCACCCTCTATTGTGAAAGAGCGGCTGACCTGTCTTAGGGTGCACGCAGAATGGCGCCTTGAGGAGATGGTTCATGTGCTTAGACACCTGCAGGAGACATTGAAACCGTGATACATGGTGCATAGATGGGTTGTTAATGAGCAAAAGAGTTCCACATGCACGAGACATGCACACACTGGCGACGTGAGCAAAGTGACTTCTGAGTCGACTCAAAAGTCACCATGTCTCCTTGTTGCATTGATGGGTTGTTAATTAACAGAGGAGCTCCACATGCATCACACATGCGCGCCGTAAGGCAACAAAGTGCCTTCTGAGTCGACTCAAAAGTCACCTTGTCTCCTTGTTGCATTGATGGGGTGTTAATTAACAGAGGAGCTCCACATGCACGAGACATGCGCGCAGTAGGGCAACAAAGTGCCTTCTGAGTCGACTCAAAAGTCACCTCAGTGGTAAAGCAGGGAAGGTGACTTCTGAGTCGACTCAAAAGTCACCACGACACATGGTGCACAGATGGGCTGTTAATGAACAGAAGGGCTCCACCACATGCATCGGAGATGCGCACACGTGCAGCTTGAGCAAATAGCTCATGGGCTTGGAGAGGCACAGGGGAACGAGGAGGTAGACATGAGACATGAGACATGAGACGTGAAAGCTAAAGATAAACCCAATGAAGCAGGACTAGGCTCCAAGCCCTTCACACCCACCCACCTCTAGATCGAGGCGAGGGTAAGAGAAGGCTAGAGATAGACCCGGTGAAGCAAAGATAGGCTCCAAGCCCTTCACACCCACCCAGCTCTAGATCAAGGTGAGGGTACGTGAAGACTAGAGATAGACCCGGTGAAGCAAAAATAGGCTTCAGACCCTTCACACCCACCGAGCTCTAGATTGAGGCGAGAGTACGTGAAGACTAGAGATAGATCCGGTGAAGCAAAGATAGGCTCCAAGCCCTTCCTCCCCACCCACCTCTAGATCAAGGCGAGGGTACGTGAAGGCGAAGACGATTTCCTCCACTGCTTTGCGCAGGGATGTGTTCTGCGGGGCGAGAGGCAAGGGAGGGAGTGGGAGACAATAAGAGTGGGCGACGATGGGAGTGGGAGGCAATAATGAGTCGAGCTCTGATGCGGCTCAATGCAGATGGTGCATGCTGGCGAAGACGATTTCCTCCACTGCCTTGCACAGGGATGTGTTCTGCAGGGCGAGAGGCAAGGAAGGGGAGGAACACAGGAGGGGAGAGAAGAGGAGGAAGGGTGACTATCTTGAAGGACTATCTAATACGAAGGACCGCTTGAGTAAGTGGGGGGGATGTATTTTTTAGGCACCTCAAACATAGACTCCTGACGAGTAGACTTAAGGAGGGTGCCTATCTTGAAGGTCTATCTAAAACGAAGGACCGCTTGAGGAAGTGAGTGAGGGGGATGTTACAATGCGCGAGTGTGTAAAAGCAAAGACACTGAAAGAGTGAAGGTAATAGAATGCATACAATAGACCGTGCATCAGACATTGGAACGACACTATCATGACATTGGAATGACACTTGAACGACATTGGAATGACATTGGAACGACATTCGAGCGACATTCGAACAAACATGGGAGAGGCATTGAGGAAGTGGCAGTGGCGGGGAGTGGGGTTGCCAAGTGTACCGCCAGGTGTCACCTTTTTGGCAGCTGCTCGTGTTGTCGCCTCCAGCTGCTGCCACCTGTACACGTTGACGTCAGCAGCTGCCGATAGACGCCTGTCGCTGCGCCACGTGGCATCCATCCGGTCCTGCAGCTCTGCATGGGGCGATGGGGATTCCAAGGGAGGGGGGGAAAGGAGGGGGGGAAAGGAGGGGGGGAAAGGAGGGGGGAAAAGGAGGGGGGTGTGGGGGGATGGCAAGGGGGGGTGTGGTATTGCAGGGATGGGGGGGGGGGGAGGGGGAGAGATGGGGGGGACAGAAAGGGGGGGAGGAAGTTGCGCATTTGCGCTAGCACCCTCGCCCTCCTCACATCCGGTTGGCTCAGCAGCTCCTGATTTGGAATCATTTCGCCCTCCAATGTGCCTCGCATGCTCTGGCAACAGATAATCAAACAACCTGGCAACAGATAATCAACCAAGCTGGCTACAGATAATCAACCAAGCTGGCTACAGATAATCAAACAAGCTGGCAACAGATAATCAAACAAGCTGGCAGCAGATAATCAAACAAGCTGGCAACAGATAATCAAACAAGCTGGCAACAGATAATCAAACAAGCTGGCAACAGATAATCAAACAAGCTGGCAACACTCGGGCTTACCTTGGTCTGGCAGCTGTGCAAGCACCCTCTTCCATGCGTCCGGGTGTGGGGGGATGGCAATAGGGGGAGGGGTATTACAGGGGTGGGGGGGGGAGGGGGGATGGATAGGGAGGGAGGGAGGGGAGAGGAGGGGGGGGGGGGGGGGGAGGGGAGGTGTGGTTTTTTTACATGGGGCATTTAATCGTACCTTGGTCCGGCAGTTGCGCTAGCACCCTCTTCCATGCGTCTGGTTGGCTCAGCAGCTCCTGATTGGGAAGCATTTCGTTCTCAAACGTGCCTCGCAACACTTGATCGTATGCCCTCCTGGCGAATGGGGAGTGGGGGAGAGAAGGCAGTGAGGAGTGGGTTTGGGAAGAAAATACGAGAGGTTGAAGTATAGATATTTGCTTAGACAGTACTTGCTCATATGCCCTTCTAGTGGGAAGGAGCAAAGTGGGAGAGAAGGGCGAACGTTACAGAAGCGGGGGGCGATTGGATTGGACATCATACAAGTTTTGAGGCGCCTCAAAACCAGGGGGATTGGATTGGAGATCATACAAGTTTTGAGGTGCCTCAAAACCAGAAGCGGGGGGGGATTGGATTGGACATCGTACAAGTTTTGAGGCGCCTCAAAACCAGAAGCGGGGGGGGATTGGATTGGACATCGTACAAGTTTTGAGGCGCCTCAAAACCAGAAGCGGGGGGAGATTGGATTGGACATCGTACAAGATCAAAAGTGGTTCTCGTACTGAAATACCAAATCTTATCTAGAAAGTGAAGCCCATAACAAGCTTTGCTGCAAAAGTTGTCTTTTCTTGCATGAAACGAGTGTTAAGAAAAAGGAACCTATAGAAAAGAAAAAGGAGTGGCCCGCATGGGAGAAACCCGCATAGGCGTAACCTGCATGAGAGTAACCTGCATGGGAGTAACTCGTGTGGGAGTAACCCGCATGGGAGTAACCCACGGACTTCTCACAGGAGAGAGGGATGCATGAGGGCAGACTTTCTTACATGAGGGATGCATGAGGGCAGACTTTCTTACATGAGGGATGCATGAGGGCAGACTTTCTTACATGAGGGATGGGTGCAGGGCAGCGCCAGTGAAGGAGACTTTGCTGGCGTTGGCTTCGCTTCCCTGCACAAGGTGATAGTGAGTCAGTCTGAGAATGACTTAATATTGAGTCGACTCAACATGACTTTTGAGTCCTGAGCGACATTTGCTGGCTCAAAACGACTCAAAAGTCATCACGTTGGCTTCGCTTTCCTGCATAGGCTGATAGTGAGTCAGTAAGAGAAAGATTTGATTTTGAGTCGACTCAAAATCAGCTTTCCTGCACAGTGTGATAGTGAGTAACTTAGTGAATGCCGAGTACTTTTAAAAAATACCCTGTAAAATCAGCTTCCATGCACAAGGTGATAGTGAGAAACTTAGAGAGTGATATTATCCATAGGCGCCTAAGAAAAAACTATTTCCGGCATGCAATATTCCTCCCTGCCTATGGTGTCAGTAAGTCAAGGTCTGTTGGTGAAGCACATCTACAGCCCCTGTTTTTCTACACGTTTACTGCAGCAATCTGTTACAATGTTACATTTTTACAACTCCATTTGGCACACATACGTAAATATTCTTCCTGTTAAAATACCTTGTACACTCGGAAATATTCCGCCACAGCAGACCGTTGCTCATTGGTTAATCTGGCGGGGGGTTGGGGATGGAGAAGGGGATCCAGTCCAGTCAGCAGCACGTGGGCACAGCACGTGGGCACAAACAACGAGAACTCGTTGGCATCAAGTAAGGACGAAACCTGTGAATCTGTGATCTGCATACCGTGTGTGAGGAGTCTGCTTGTGAGGGGCCTCAAGAGGGGGTTCGTTCATAAAAGCAGTCAGATGAACACAAGAAGCTTGAACCGCCTTAGCAACAAGCAAGGGGGGGATTATTCTTGAGGCGCCTCAAAAACAGCTTGAACCGCCTTAGCAACAACAAGCAAGGGGGGGATTATTCAGGCGCCTGAAAAACAGCCTAAGCTGCCTTAGCAACAAGCAAGGAGGGGGTTTGCCATCCCATTCGGCTGTCGACGCCTTACCTCCGTGGGTTTTTGAGACGACTCAAACACAGCCTCAAATCCTGGTTCGTCTGCAGCGAGGTGACTTTTGAGTTTGCAGGGTGTTTTGAGTTTGAGAATTCTCGAAAACACCCCGCAAACTCAAACACAGTCTCACCTTCTGGCTCGTCTGTCGCACACCCAGCAGTGCACCCCTCGCCTCCCACTGAACACCCACAGAACGTGCTCAAACGCGAAGTCCTCTGGAGGGTGCAGGGAGATATGAGACGTGATACAAGGGTTCTTTTGAGACCTCTGTCGCACACCCAGCAGTGCACGCCCTCCTCCCACTTAACACCCACAGAATGTGCTCAAACGCGAAGTCCTCTGCAGGTTGATGGTGGAAAGGTTAAGAGAGATAAGCATGGTAGATAAAACCTCGGTGGGACACAGAGAGTGATACGACGAATTCTTGGAGGGCCGCACAAGAGAAATACCAAGGTCGGAGCAAAACGGCCCGTTTAGGGATAAGTACCGAAGTAACCCTGTCTGAAGCGTCGCACCTCTAAGAGCGGTGTCAACGACTTTGATTGCCGCTGTCATAAGCGGCCAACACTTGGTGCAGACAGATGCCCCTGAGCAGCACGTGCGGACGTCGTCATAGTCACTTATGTCCTGTAATGAGGGAGACAGGCACACAGAAATTCGACATAGCCACATACGTTTTGAGAAGCGTGAGGCCAGAACAGCGTGACAGGGAAGCAGTTTTTGAGATTGGCCGATAGGGGAAGAAGTGTGATGTGTTAATAGTAGTGAAAAGGTGTTAGTATCGAACGGCAGCTTACAATATCGAAGACGAGCTCTCTCTCAACGGGTGCGAACGCGCTCTCTGACCCGATCCCCTGATATGCTGCTCGCCGCGCCGGCTGTTATCACACGGAAAGAGGAGATGATAAGAACGAGAAGTGATAATGTCGAAGTGCGCTTTCCAACCTAATTCTCCGATACACTGCTCGCCTCGCCGGCTGTTGTCACACACACAAGGGCAATGAACAAGTCACAGAAAGGATATCTCATGCTGCATCTGAGGCACCTAAAAAGTTGAACGCGCTCTTGAACGGATCCCCTGATACCCAATAACTGAGATTTACGACTGAAGCCGAACGATGTTCGGATGGTGACAGAAGATTTGTTTTGAGACGTCTCGAAACATACCTTCTATCACGTGGCTGTTATTGAACGATTGAGGCTGGTTCGGATGGTGAGAGCTCGTATCATAGAGAGTCTTACATCGACATTGTAAACGGCGCCTATGTCGATCTTGTGCGGGATCTTATCGCGGATAGCGGCCTCCATGTCCGACGCGTCGCGGAACGACTGGTAGCGCACGTAGATGTCGTGCTCCAGAGTGAACGACTCGGTATGTACCGACCGATACCGACAAACTGATACCGCCTCAAACTGAACGACTGATACCGACTGAAACCGACTGATACCGACTGAAACCGACTGAAACCGGCTGAAACCCGCTGGAACCGGACGATATTTGGATGTGGAAAGTGTATATAACAGAGGTACTTACATCGACGTTGTACACCGCGCCTATGTCGATCTTATGCGGGTTCTTATCGCGGATAGCGGCCTCCATGTCCGACGCATCGCGGAACGACTGGTAGCGCACGTAGATGTCGTGCTCCAGAGTGAACGAGAACTCGCGCCGCTGGAGATACGACGCGTCGGTTCCGGGAAGTTTCCTGTCGTTGCCGTACGAGAGCCAGCGAGCCATATCCGCGTAGGGGAACAGACGGCGGTAGTAGATTTTTAGTAGGTCCGTGCTGAAGCATGATTCCCTAGCGGACGGTTTATCCTGCGGCTCGGCGGCGGCAGTAACAGGGTCTTTATTGTCTACTTTCGTCGGAGGTTCCGAATGGTCTGTCATATTCTCGTCGGAAGGAATGGGACTACCCATGGATCAGAAGCACCACTAGCAGACTCGTCGAGCTAGAAAGGAGGGGCACACGGCCTTCTGGATAAGCTGTACGTTGCGATTTGAAGAGTAAGACTCTGAAGCTGAGGGTGGACTGAAACGGGAGTAATCTAATTCCCTTATATGTGCCTAGCGAGGAGGAGGAAAGAGTTGGATAATAAGATCAGCCGCCTTCTGATTCTCAAGCGGCAGCCGAACAGCGGCGAAGAAACAGCAAGATAAGCGGCGAACCAGAAGAAAAAGAAGCTGTCAGTAGAAGGAAACAGAAGCACTAAGTGGCTGGAGGTTTGGAGGGACAGAGGAAGCGCGTGGGAACACAGGGAATCGATTTTGGCGGGAAACACTACAAACGAGCATTTGAATTCGCAAAACTCAACCGACTGTGTCACAGCACACCTTGATACAGTCACATTTGACTTTGTTCGATAATGTGCGTTGTTTACATAGTAATCGTACGACAACGTGGGCAGGGCATACACACCTAATCTGGTTACAAGACATTTCGCAGCGTTGTGTCGCCAGAGTTCTGTGGCCAAAACTCTCTAATCTAAAGCCCGTCATTGTTCGCAAACTTTGCAACAACCACCGGATCTCTGGCACCAAGCCGATCGCCACCGCACGATAAAACCCTCCTTGGAATCTCCACAGGCCACACCAAGCAGCCGCTGCTGGCCTCATCCAGCTTCTTTCTTTCTTTCCCCTGCACGCACGGAGCTCACCTCACCCCGAGACCCTGCCAGGTCCATCCAAGACTGATCCATTTTCCTGTCGTGCCGTCACTTACGTTTCCCTTCAGTTTCTTCCCAATCCCGGCACGCAGTGAGGATCCGGGCCTCGCTACAACCTGAACTTTCTTTTGCTAGAGAGATCCGTCCGGTTCTAAGATGGACTCGGTTCCATTAGCGGCCTTAAACGGCGATTTACCGTACCGTCGCTCGCAAGGGCTCGACGCTGCTTATAACGAGAACGGATGGGTTGGCGTTGACGGTAGCGGCAAAGGAGGCAAGGCCTCCCATGGTAAACGCCACGCGGGTCGCTCCTCCGCGCCTTACGCGAGACCTACCTCCGGACGTCACGCTGCTGCCGGCCACGCGGCAGCGGCGATTCGGACTGCCACGTCAGCTGCGGGATCTCCGGGAGAATCTAGAGGTCCCGCTGATGTGTCGCTGGACGCGCGGGAGAGGGATGGAGAGAGGAGGGATGGGGTAGCGGTGCAAGATGGTGTCAAAAGCGCGGGAAGCGGTTGGCTCGGCTCGTGGCGGAACTCGATTGGATCGCTCGTCAGATGGCCTTGGAGCTCTCGAGGTACTCATAACGGAGATTTTTCTAGCGGATCGGCGTTACGGTTGTTTTCTTCCGTCCAGATCAGCACTCCGGCTTCTCGTTTATGATAAATTTATCGTTTTTAGTACGCCCGGCTGCTAACCCTAATATTTTCGTCCGTCGATTTAGCCTGTAGCGCGTTCTTAAGCTTCCATTGCCGGTGCATCTCACCTTGGTTGCTTCCTGCTAAAATGCTCTTAACCTTGTAAATCCCTTTTACCAGATGGTAACCAGCGTAACACCCAAGGCGAGCAGCAAGGCGTGCCGGACAAGCGACCGTCGGACGGCGCAACTAGCAATGGGCCAGCGAAGGGGGGGAATGCTGCTGATGCTGCCGGTGCTGCTGGTGCTGCTGGTTCTGCTGGTAGTGGTGGTAGTTATGCCCAGGAACGGCAGGCGGGAGGAGCGAACGGGAAACAGGAGAAAGGGACATTGATGAAGGAGGTTGAGCAGCTGCTGAGACGAGGGACGCCTTTATCGCTGTACGTAACGGGAATTTACCACGGGTTACCCTGTATTTCGCGATGTTAGGGTTTCTTCGCTGGTAACAGGAGTGGAAGAAAACGGGAAGCAGGAGGAAGGCGCAGAGATGAGGGAGGTAGAGCAGCTGCTGAAACGAGGGACGCCTCTATCGCTGACGTAACTGTACTCGCCTCACGAGTTACCCTATGTTTCGCTGGTTGGGTTTATTCGCTGACACCAGGCGCAGGTAGAGCAGCTGCTGACTCGAGGGACGCCTCTATCCCTGTACGTAACTCAAATTCGTTCGCGGGTAAAGTCGTTCAACTGGTATCGTTCGTTCACGGCCGCTCGTGGCGTTTTTGTTTCGTCATTCGTGACTTTCACGGGTACCAATGACGTTCACGGGTTTTGGGTTTAGTGGCTATCAGGATTCTCATGGTTTTCCCGCTCTCGGGTTTCCCGTTCTATTTAGTGGCCTATCATGATTTTCATGATTTTAGGTTACTGATGCACTTTCTATTTAATGGCCTATCCCCGCCCTCTCTCTCCGTCGCGGTTTTGCCTCTGCAGTGCATCGCTATGTGCGTTATTGCGCTGTACCCTTCATGCTACGCCTCCTGAGGCTGATTGATCCCTTACGTGTCACAACATGCTGACGTGTCACGGCCCTACAGGCGCGAGTTTCAGCGGCTGAACGAGCTGCTGCGTCAGCACGTGGCGAGCGGCGCTGGAGAGAAGGCGGAGGAGGCGGAGGAAGAAGACGAAGAGGAGAATCAGGTGCAGCAGCAGCAGCAGCAGCAGCAGCAGGCGGGAGAGGAGCAGGAGCAAGAGGAGAGGGTGGAGGCATCGGCAGGGAAGAGGCGGAGGACGGGCGGCAGCAGCAGCTGGGTGGCAGCAGACGGGGCAGCAGGGCAGGGTTATGCGCCTAACACTGCACACATTGCACCTCGCGTTACACCTCGGGTTACACCCGGGGTTACGCCTCGCGTTACACCTCGTGGTGCAGCTGATGGGCTTGCAGGAGGTGCTGGTGGTGCTGGCATGAGCGTGTCACCTGTGGATGTGGCCAGGGCGTTTATGCGACCGAGCATGGCCGCCTTTCCTGCAACGCAGGCGCCATCACCTGCGACAGAGCCGCTGCAGAAGGTGAGTGAGCGGATGGAAGGTGTGGCACGTTGACGTGGTTAGAGCGTGTACGCGTCCAAGCATGATTGTCACCACCTACCTACCAACCGTGCTCTCCTGTTGCTGTCGTCCTTCCCTCGTTGTGTTGTGTTTTCGTTTCAGGGAGTGAGCCTTCGAGCCTGGACGCCCTATCAAACCCAGCTGGCGCCAGGCACTAAGGTGAGAATTGCTGTCCTGCAAGCACAGCAAATTAGATGGCTTTTGAGTCGACTCAAAAGTCACCTGGAGTCAGGTACCAAGGGTTGGGAATTGCAGCCCTGCAAGCGCTTCGATGCACACACTAACTGCATGAGCAAAACGCACGCTAACTGCATTTTTTTGTCGCTGGCTTTCAGGCACCCAGCGCAACATCTCTTGCCAACTAAGGAAGAAAGATGGACTACTCTTTGATCTATTCGACTGGCTATCCTTCCCTTGCCCCTGTGTCTGTCCCTCATTGGCAGTCTCGCAAGCGAGGCATTGCACAGCTGCATGAGCCCCAATCAGTTGCTGCTCAGACACCTCGTTTAACATACCCTCTTCCCCTCCCACGCCACTCCTTTTGCTCCCTTTTGCTCCCCATCGCAGTCTCGCAAGCGCGGCATTGCACAGCTGCATGAGCCGCCACCCCCTGCGAGCCCCTGGGGTGCTGTACCCCTTATAAGCCCCTCCGCTGTTCCTCACAGGCGCAGGGGCAGCATTGTTGCAGGCACGGGAGGGTTGCGTAACGGTGGGACTGGTAACCATGTTCGCCAGAGGAGAGTTTCGTTTTCGCCAGCAGTGCTGGCAGCAGCAGGAGAGGGAGAGGGGGAGGAGGAAGGAGGGTGGAGTGGGAGGAGGGGAAGGGGAAGGGCTTTAACTAGACTGAGGGAAGGGGATAGGGACGACTGGTTGCCTCTGCAGCAGCAGCAGCTGTTGCAGCAGCAGAAGAGAGACCAGATTTTGGCAAGTGTTCCTTCCCGGTCAGCGCAATCTGCCCGGAAAATTCTGGACACGCTAGATCGGATGGCTGGGGCTTTGCCTGCTGCTGAAGGTTTGGGGCGGGCAGAGGGTAGGGAAAGGGAACGGGCAGGGGAAAGAAGAGGAGTGAGTGGAGGTACTGGAGGGATTGAGGCTGCGAGATTGAAGGGAAAAGAAAAGATGATTGAGGATGGGAGCGGTGGGGAGAAGGGACTGCCAGGGGCAATAAGCTCAGAACTCGAGCAGCAGCAGCAGGAGCAGCAGGAGAAGCAGCAGCAGCGGAGGGGCGATGGGCAGCAGGGGCAGGGGAGAGGGGAAGAGGGGGCGAGGCGGGGGGAGGGGGAAGAGACGAGGCAGACAGGCAGAGAGGCTATGGTTGATGGTTCGAGGGAGGACGCACAGGAGACGAGAAGAGGCCGCCACGGGTTCAGAATGTCCGTGTTTGAGGTAAGGGTTGGTTGCTCGTGGTTTCTTTTGAGTCGACTCAAGAGTCACCTCTTTTGAGTCGACTCCAAAGTCACGTCAGAATGCCCGTGTTTGAGGTAAGGGTTGGTTGCTCGTGGTTCCAAAGTGTCAGACGCTATAACTGGTGGGCTTTTGAGTCGACTCAAATGTCATCTCGGTAGGCAGAGATGCTATGATTGATGGTGGGAAGGAGGACGCACATAAGACGAGAAGAGGTCGCCATGGGTTTGGGATGCCAGTGTTTGAGGTAAGGGTTTGAAGTGTGCACTTCTCCCCCCCCCCGCCCCTCCCGTCTTCCTCCCCCCTCCCACCTTTTCTCTTCCCTGTCTTCTGGATCCCACTGGGAACCAGCTGACTTTTGAGTCGACTTTTGAGTCGACTCAAAAGTTCCTTCCCACCTTTTCCTTTTCCCTGTCTTCTGGATCTCAGTGGGAATCAGATCGCAGAGGAGCTGCCTGGTCTGTAAGGCTCTTTATAACGCTCTTACACTTACTGCTGTTTAGGTGTATTTTGAGTCGACTCAGAAGGTGTATTTTCAGGTGTATTTTCAGGTGTATTTTCAGGTGTATTTTGAGTCGAGTCAAAATATCAGTGTGAATCAGATCGCAGAGGAGCTGCCTGGTCTGTAAGGCTCTTTTTAACGTTCTTACACAGTTACACTTACTGCTGTTTCTGCTACTCGTTTCCCTCCACTTTCGTTGACCCACCAGGAGGACGAGGAGGAAGGGCCAAGGCAGGGAGGTCAAGTGGCAGCTGAAACCCGAACCCCCGCTGGTTTCGCGACTCCCACTACAGTAGCAGCAGGGGCCAAAGGAGGCGCAGGAGCTACTGGGGCAGGCGCTACTAAGGCAGACGCATTACAAACAACCAAGGCAGGAACGGGCGCTGCTTCTGCATCCGCTGCTGCTACGTCTGCTGCCACCGCTGCACCTGCTGCTGCCGCTGATGCTGCTGCTGCGATCAAGTCAGCAGGGGAGGGGGTAGGGGGCAAAGCTGGGGCTGGTACACTGCAGGCTGGAGGGCAAGCGGATGGGGAGAAGGGCAGTGAGAGGAGCAAGGAGAGAGGCAAGGAGCAGAGTGCGGCTGTCGCCACAGGAAGGTGAGTTGGAGGGTAGTGGGGGAGTGAGGGGAGAGGGGTGTGAGGAAGGGAGTGAAGTGTGTGTGAATGAGAGGAGGGGTGTGAGAGTGGGATTGGGAGTGGGGTTAGAGAGTGTGGGGACGAGGTAGGTTTGAGCAGTGGGGTAGGGAGAAGTGAGTTTGTTGGAGGGAGGGGCGCGCACGAGTAATTATCCGTGCTTCCGTCAAGGGTGATGCGATTCGACTCCCCATGCCTCATCTCCCCAGTCCAACTATTGCAGGGTGTTTTTGAAAATTCTCCAAAACACGCTGCTTGATTTGATTATCCGTACTTCCGTCATGGGTGATGTGTTTCGACACCCCATTCCCTCATCCCCCATTCCAACTGCTCTCATCTGCATCCCCCATTCCAGCTGCTCTCATCTGCATCCCCCATTCCAGCTGCTCTCATCTGCATCCCCCATTCCAACTGCTCTCATCTGCATCCCCCTTCCAATCTTCAAAGTTCTGAGGCGCCTCGAAAGGAGTCTATTTTTTAGGCGCCTCCAAAAGAGTCTATTTTCTAGGCGCCTCGAAAGGAGTCTATTTTTTAGGCGCCTCAAAAGGAGTCTATTTTTTAGGCGCCTCCAAAGGAGTCTATTTTTTAGGCGCCTCCAAAGGAGTCTATTTTCTAGGCGCCTCGAAAGGAGTCTATCTTTTAGGCGCCTCGAAAGGAGTCTACCTTTTAGGTACCTCAAAGATGGACTCCAACTTCCGTCATCTTTATCCGCCAACTTCAAAAAATTCTCAACCCTTCCTCTCCCCACTCTTCCATTGAACCCCTTTCCCCTCTCCCCTTCCCTGCACTCCCCTCCCATGGACTCCCCTCCCATGCACCCCCCTTCCCTGCACTCCCCTTGCACGTTGCAGTTTCTTTGGCTCGGCAGCACATGCAGCCACTCTCCCCCCCCAATCCAAGCCGGAGAGGCCAGCATCACCAGACTTCGCTCCATCCAAATCAGCAGCTGCTGCAGCGCCAGCACCAGCAGCAGCAGCAGCACCAGAAGCAGCGGCAGCAGCAGCAGCAACGACAACCCCGTCCTTTGGCGCTTCTGCGTTCAAGGAACCGGCCTTCGGCTCGTCTGCTGCTGCTACAGCCTCTTTCTTTGGTGCGTCTGCACCCGCTGCTGCTACTCCTGCTGCTACCCCTGCCACTACCTCTGCTGTTGCTGCTCCCCTCTTTGGTTCTGTCCCTACTGCTGTCTCTGCTAGTGCTCCGTCCTTTGGCTTGTCTTCCACTCCTTCCCTCCCGCCTTCCACCACTCCTCCATCCGTTTCAGCACCAACTGCAGCAGCAGCAGCAGCAGCCCCAGTGGCAGCAGCAGGTCCGTTGTTTGGCTTTAAACCAGCAGCCGACTCTGCAGCTGCTGCCAAGGAAGCAGCAGCAGGAAACGCTGCTCCTGCCCTTGGCGGCGGTGGTGGTGGCGATGGTGCTGGTGCTGGTGGTGGTGGTGGTGGGGAGAGGGGGAGGAGAGGAGGAGAGGCGGAGGAGGAGGAGCCGAGAAGGAAGAGGCGTGTATCGTCATCTCCTGTCGGAGGGGGGGCGGATGGTCCGCCTCCCTCCCTCTTTGGCTTTGGAAAACCCCCTGCCGGTATGTGCCTGATGTTGAGTTCTTTTGTTTTGCAGAATTCCTGCTCAGTGCCCCGTCTCCTCCACCTTCTTCCCCCCTCTCTTGTCTGAATCACCTTTACTAGGTGATCTCCTCGTTTGATTCTCTCTCGTCTTAAATGGCTCGATTCTCCCCATTCCCCCCACTTCCCCCACTTCTCCCCATTCCCCCCACTTACCCCCATTCTCCCCATTCTCCCCATTCTCCCCATTCTCCCCATTCTCCCCATTCTCCCCATTCTCCCCATTCCCCCCATTCCCCCCATCCCCCCCATTCCCCCCATTCCCCCCATTCCCCCCATTCCCCCCATTCCCCCCATTCCCCCCATTCCCCCCATTCCCCCCATTCCCCCCATTCCCCCCATTCCCCCCATTCCCCCCATTCTCCCCATTCCCCCCATTCCCTGCACTCTCCCTCCCAGCAGGGTCCACATCGCCGCCAGCAGCTGCAGCTCCGGCCTTTGGTGCTGCCACTACCAGCACCGCCCCCACTGCCTCCAACTCTATTGTCTTTCTCGTTCCTTCATCTTGCTCGCCTTGGCCCCATCCCCCTCCCTCTCTTCATTCTCCCCTCCCAGCAGGGTCCACATCGCCCCCAGCAGCTGCAGTTCCGGCCTTTGGTGCCCCCACGACTGGCACCGCCCCCACTGCTGCTGCTACTGTTGGCGCTTCTGCTGCTTCAGCTGCCTCCGCCCCTACCACCATCCCTGCCCCTCTCTTTGGTTCAACATCCACCGTACCTGTGTTTGGTTCGGCGTCAACCGCACCTGCGTTTGGCTCGGCATCAACCGCATCATCATTCGGCATCACCCCCTCTTCCACCCCTGCAACCGTCACTGCAGATGCTACTGCCATTGCTGGTGCGCCCACCCCAAGCACTGCTGCCGGTGCCGCCACTGGCTTTGCTACCTCCACCCTCCCATCCTTTGGCCTCACCACCCCATCCTTCGGCCTCAGCACTGCTCCAGCGTTTGGGATTTCTGCCTCCACTGCCGCAACAGCAGCATCCAACACGCCATCAACCACAGCTGCGCCCTCATTTGGGCTCCCCCATTCAACCGCAGCAGCTCCTTCCGCCACAGGAGCACCGGCAACCACCACCCCCACTCCAGCCTTTGGCTCTGCTGCTCCCACCTCTCCCTCGTTCGGCATCTCGCCCTCCCCGTCCTTCGGTGCGTTTGGATCTGCTCCGGCGTTCGGCTCTGCTCCTACTGCTGCTGCTGCTACTGCTGCAGCTCCTGCTTTTGGCACCGCTGCTTCTGTTGCTGCCTCTGGCTCTGCTGCTGCACCTCCTGCTGCCCCTTCCTTTGGCACTACTGCCCCTGCGTTTGGCACCTCCTCCCCTGCGTTTGGCACTTTCTCTGGTGCTTCCACCCCTGCCTTTGGCTCTTCTGCCCCTGCCTTTGGTGCTTCAACAGCTGCTGCCGCTACAACTTCCCCTTTTGGCGTCCCTGCTACAACCGCAGCACCTGTATTCGGCGCCCCCACCCCGTCTCCCGCCTCTGCCCCTGCGGCTACAAGCACAGGTGCCCCTACCAGTACTCCCACCCCTGGGGCCTTCACCTTCGGCGCTCCTGCCTCAGGCCCCACTGCTGCTACGACGCCTGCTGCTGCTGCCTCCTCTCCTGCTCCTGTCTTTGGGTTTTCGGCATCGTCCTCCGGACCTGCTCCCGCACCTGGCTTCACGTTCGGTGCTTCCACTCCTGGAGGTCCGGCAGGGGCAGCATCGTCCACACCAGCAGCATCTCCATTTGGCTTTGCTGCTGCTGCCCAACCTGCAGCCCCCTCACCCGCTCCCTTTGCCTTTGGAGCCCCAGCAACAGCAGCAGGAGGAGCAGCAGCACTAGCATCACCTTTCACCTTTGGTAGTGGGGGGGGAGCAGCAGCTCCAGGGGCACCTGCAGCTGCAGGAGCAGCAGGTGCAAATCCCTTTGCTTTTGGCACTGCTGCTGCTGCTGCTACTGCTGGTGGCTTCACATTTGGGTCCACTCCTGCTACCGGTGCCCCTGCCACTTCTCCCTTTGGTTCTGCCTCACCCTTCCCAGCACCAGCTGGGGGTAGTCCCTCCGGAATGGAGGAGAATACAATGGCTATGGAGCCAGCAAACGGGTTCAAAATGCCTGGAGGAATGCCTGGTGCCATGCCTGGAGGTATGCCAGGAGCATCCGCCCCTCCTGTCCTTTTCGGAGCTCCACCCACCGCTGCAGGGGCTATTCCTTTTGCTTTCGGACAGCCCGCAGCTGCAACTGCTGCCCCTGCAGCTGCCCCATTTTCTTTCGGTGCTGCCCCGCCTGCTGCTGCTGCACCGTCCCCGGCAGGGAGTGGTGGGAGCAGTGGGTTTGCTGCCCCATCTATGGTGTTTGGTGCTGGTGGTGGGGGTGGTGCTCCGGCTGCTGCTGGTGGGTTCTCAATGGGAGCGGGTGCCCCCACGCCTGGGAGGAGAGTGGTTAAAGCCAAGAGGCCAGCGGCCAGACGCAGATAACTGGTTTATCAGGGATCAAGACTCATGAAATGCAGTTGGTGCTGTTGTTGCTGCTCCTGCTGCTGGTGGGTTCTCAATGGGAGCGGGTGCACCCACGCCTGGGAGGAGAGTGGTCAAAGCCAAGAGACCTGCGGCCAGAAGCCGATGATAAGTTTTGTAGGGATCAAGAAATGCAGGTGCTGGTGGCACAGCTTGTGCTGGGTACAGGGCAGGCCCCCAAATTGGTTTTGGGCGTGTCTGATTCATCAGATTTGCCTGCCATCTCTTGGTATGGCCTTCAGAGTCTCCCCTAAAAAAAAACTGGAAAATCAGAGTAACGAGATTTTTTGTCTGATTAATCAGAGTTTACCATTGTTTTTAACTCTGATTTCAAAGTTGGTGTTTCGCACATTACTTTTCCCTTCCCTTTCCAACCGCTGCCCTCAGACTATCACGAGAGCTAGGTAGCTAGGAACGGTAGAAAGGCATGACAATGGTGAGGGTTTAGCTAGGAGAAAGTTACGAGAGAAAAGAGGTCGAGAATAGGAGGCATACAAGGAGGGGGGTTGTACCCTCTACAGCTGGTTGCAATAACACCTACGAAGCCTACCAATTATATAACAAAATATATCATTTAACACAACCCATAGGCTTGGTAGTAACAAGCCCACACACACCCACACCCCCTAACCTAGCACCCCCATTCCCACCAGCAGCCACGACTACTCCGGAACCGGTCAACACCCACGGCCCAGGAGGTGGCAATGGCGGCAGCGGCGGCAGTGACGAAAGCGGCGGCGGCGACAGCGTGCGGCGGCAACAGCGGCGGCGTCGACGGCTTCAATGTCAGAGGCGACTGCAGTGGTCCCCGCCCTCTCGGCGGCATGGCCAATCTCCGCGGCGATGGGGAAAACCCTCACGAGTCAGGCGTCGGCTATGGCAAGGAGGAGGGGACGCAAGGGAAAAGGGTGGGGGGCGGGCGTGGTCTAGCATCACGCCCGTGGCTGGCGTGCGGGCGTCAAGTCGAGCGGCGCCACAGGAGTTGGGTGGCCGGCTGCATCTCGACAACGCCGCCACCGCAGCATTACGACGCCGCCACAGTGCGGCGTCGATGCCACAGCGGGACGTCGATGCTGCGACGGCATCACGGCGACGCCGTCACATCGCCGCGGCGGGACGTCGACGACGCCGCCACGACTGGATGTCGACGCCACTACAACGCGTCGAGACGGCTGCGGCACGACGCAGCCAGCGGCACGACGACGCCGCCACAGCTGCACGACGCGGCCGCCATGGCAGTGCGAGAGGGAGAGAAGGAGTGCGTGGCGGAAGCGTAGGGAGCAGGCCCGGGAAGGGCAACCTGCTCTGATATCATCTCAAGAGAGCTAGGTAGCTAGGAACGGCAGGAAGCCATGAAAATGGCGTGAGGGTTTAGCTAGGAGAAAGTTACGAGAGAAAAGAGGTCGAGAATAGAAGAGAGAGGCATACAAGGAGGGGGGTTGTACCCTCTGCAGTTGGTTGCAATAACACCTACCAAGCCTACCAATTATATAACAAAATATATAATTTAACACAAACTTTTCCCTTGAGGGTTCTCCTCTTGCGTCCACTAGCTATCTGTGTTCTGGCGACAACACAGAATTTCACGTCACCCTAGACCCAGCCCCGCGCCAGCGCAAGTGTAATTGATCAGCGGGAGTGATTTTTACATTTCTAATTTCTTAGACAGATTGAAATATGATTTTTTAATTTCAGATGAGTCTTTCAAGAGTTTCTTATCCCTCCCCCTCCTCGTTCCGTGTTTAGTAATTTCGCGTGCCTGAGGTACGGCGACGAAATCGGTTGGTGGATTGGAGATACGGGATCATGGCGAATTGCGTGTGGGGGACGAAATCGAGGGATGGGGCGGAAAGGAATTGGGGGGCGGGCAAACCAAAATTGTAGGGGAGGGGAGGTAGGGAAATCGGGGCCATCCAGGTGGCTATTTCGTGAAGGGCCAATGGGCGCCCTCGCATACACAGCCCGCAGCACACCTCGGCAATTTTTTTCAAGGGCCAATCGGCCCCTCACACCGCACGCATCACAAACTGAGAGGTGATTTTCGTTAAGGGCTAGTCAGCTCGCTCACACAGCCCCCAGTACGCATCGGCGTTCGATTTTGGTGAAGGGCCAGTAACCGCCCTCACAAAGCCTCGAGCAAGCATTCCGCCCTAATTTTGGCTAAGGGCCAATCAGCGCCCCCCATAGGTAAATCACGCCCTCCCCACCCCCAATCACGGTATTACACAAATCAGAGTCAATCCCCCATACAGAGATGAGGCATCAGAGTACAGTAGTGAAAAAACTCTGAAAAAACAACGTATGTACATAAATCTTCTGTGAAAAATCAGAGTAAGGTACAAAAAAACGGTCTTCCCAATCAGCGTACGCCCCCAAAAAAAGTCAGCAATTTGGGGGCCTGGTACAGGGTGAGTTTGTACTAGTGTATTATACTCCCTAAGAACATGCACCTATCTAACCTACAAATAACATATGCATATAAGTTTGACACACCCCCTAGGTTAGACAAGCGGCAATACCTGGCAAGAGATACGCAGCTCAGGGTGGCACACCTTGTCCAATCTTTGAGGCAAGGGTCGGAAGACCAGTCAAAAGAGGACAAACTAGACGAGCAAACCAAGGCGGCACTACTAGTCCAGCCACTACAACAGAAGCCACAAGGCCAGTCAGGATAATATATAAAAGAGTAGTACACAATAGAGGTCCTAGCAAGTGAGGAGCTACTAGAACCAGGCCAAGCTGTACACAGTGCTGCTGATGATCGTTAGGCGCAAGCGCCTTAGTAAAGATATTAGCTGTGTTGGCACCGGAGGCCAAGGCACTACGCCGGCCTACCGGTGCTGCTATAGCTCGCGTAGGAGGAAGTACCGCAGCTGGATGTGCTTCGCTCTACCCTCAATGCGAGGCTACTGACACAAGAGGATCATGGCCCTGTTGTCGACGTACAATACCAAGGCAGAGCTAGGCTGCTCACCTAAATTACTGAGCAAGAAGGTCAGCTGGCGTAGCTCCTGTGCCGCCATGGCACCAGCGTAGATCTCAGCCTTACAGTTAGACTGCGCAACAGACGATAACCGGATGGACCTCCAAGAGATGGCACTTGCACCAAGGCTAAAGCAGTAACCCTGGGAGGACCTAAGAGTATCAGCGTCGTCTGCCCACGAAGCGTCTGTGTGCCCTGTAAGGACCACTGGCATGCGTCCTCCCAGCACTAGTCCCATGCCCGATGTACATGCTAGATAATGCAAAACCCTCTTAGCGGCCGACCAGTGCTGCGGTCAGTGTCTACCAGTCGCCACAAGGCGAGCTAGAATGCTGAGAGGGCATGCGAGATCTGAACGAATGCAAGTCATCAGGTAACCCACCAGCTCTGCGTACGGACCACTAGGTTCTACTGACTCGTCAGGGACAGAAGCCGAGAGCCTGTAATCTACTGGCAGACGTGTGGGCTGTGCGGAGGAGAAATGAAGACCGAACCTCTAAAGGACCTGGCGCACGAAGTGTGACTGTGTGAGAGTAATGGTGTGCGCTGCTCTGTCCTTGGAGATCTACAGGCCACGGTAGTGGCGCAGCTCTCGTATGTCAGTGCAGGTGTGTCTCATCAGCAGCTCAGCCTTCATGGAGGCCAGTGCGTCTCTGTCTACAGTAGCAAAGACCAGGTCCTTTACGTAGACAAGGGTGTAGAACGGGGTCTGGCCTGAACGAACGAGGAGCGGGTCCGTGAAGGACGGGAAGAACTGCAGGTCAGCTAACGTGGCTCGCAACTTATCGTGCCACTCACGAGGTGCCTGGCGCAGGCCGTAAACCGGGCGTTGGAGGAGCCACTGGGTCCGAGGAGGAAAAGTGCGGAGAAGCCCGGTGGTCGGCGTAGGTAGATCTGCTCGTGCAGACTGCCCTGGAGAAATGTTGTGGAGAAGTCAAGAGAGTGCAGATCATAGACGCGCTGTGCTGCTACGTAAAGCAGCGCCCAAAGAGTGGTCATCTTCGGGGTCGGGGCAAAGGTCTGAAAGAAGTCAATACCCTCGCGCTGACTGAAGCCTCTAGCAATGTAGCGCGTCTTGAAACACCGTCGGCTCTCCAGGAGGGTGCTTCAGCTTGAAGAGCCACCGGCCATCGACTACGTTCACCCCAACTGGGGGAACTGCGTCGACGTAGGTGCTAGTGGATCTCCAAGATGCCATCTCCGCTTCGATAGCACCTATCCACTGAGAAGCCCAATGTAACGAGGTCGCCTCAGCGTAGGTGAGAAGGGTCAGGATATCAAGGGCGTCTGGGTCACCCTCAGGGACTAGCAGCATGGAGCAGAGATGAGGCGCGGCCTCGGACAGGAAAGCGAGCTCGTACTGCCTGTCCTCTAAGACTCTTATGCCAAGGGTAGGTGCACCCCCAATGGACGGAGGACGGGCAGGGTCAAAGACTAGAGTAGTAGCGTAGTCAAGGCGGCGGATAGAGGCAAAGTCAGTAACGACGGCAACAAGAGCGTCAAGACTCGAGATAAGAACAGACAGATTGGTAACAAGAGAGGCAAGAACCCAAGGAACAAGAAAACTAGCCGCACGAGGAATGTCAGAGAGAGGAGGCAGAGAGATACAAAGCGACGACTGAGGAGGCAACGGGAGAAGGGGAGCATGAGACATATGAGAATGGAGCAACATAGGGTGCGAACAGTGAACGGGGGAGACAAGAGGAGCACGAGAGGGGCGGCGAGATTAGAATGGGACGGAGGCATCAGGTCAGGAGAAACACAAGGGGACACACGAGGGGAATGAGGGGGGAAACGAGCCGGGGATGAGTCCGGCGGAGGAAGCACAGAGCCGTAGACAGGCGGGGAAGGCGGCGCCGAAGAAGGCGCGCGCGGGTGGTCAGGGGAGGGAAGGCAGAGGAGGCGAAGGGCAGACACCGGCGGCGACTGTTGTTGCTGCTGCTCCACGCCTACACCGGAGCCTCCGACCGCACAAGGGCTACCTTCTGGACGCCCCACAACAGCACCCCGAGAACTCTCTCCAGCAATTGTGCCACCTCCAGGACCGCCGGGACAAGTGCCGACAGTACCCTCAGGACTAGCTCCCCCAGAACTAGCACCCAAAGCACCAGCACCCTCCCCAGCGCCCACACCTCCAGAGCTCGCGAACTCCTGCGGCGGCAAAAACGGTTGCTGCTGCAGCAGGACGACGGCGGATGTTGCGGCGGTGACGGCGGCTGCTGTTGCGGCGGCTTTGGCAGCTGCTATTGCGATGGCGGAGGAGGAGACATAGGGGCGGAGACATGTGGCGAAACCCGCATCGCAGGGCTCCCAGAGTCAGCCGACTCCTCCACCGGAACAACCGATGGGAGGGGAGTGACGTGAGACACACCACACGGGGCAGCACGGGATTGGAGCGGAGCGGCTATCAGGGGAGTGGGTACCAGAAACATGGTCGAGGTAACCGAGAGACCTCGGTGGGGAAAGCGGTGGTAGAAGGAGACAGACTCGTCAAAAGTGACATCACGTGAGTGAAAAAAGCTGTGAGACGGCGGGTGGTAAAATTGCCAGTCAGACGCATCTAGGGAGAAGCCAAGGAAGACATAAGGGATAGTGTGGGCAGTGAGCTTGTCCGTGCCTGAGGCACAAACGTGAGTCCAGCACCCCCAGATGTGAAACGCAGACGCGTTACTACGGGACCAGTCCAGAGGAGGGTCGGTGAAATCAGCGGCCGCTGGGAGTGTGGCCACAGGTTAAGCTGGTGAGCGTCATAGCGAACAGCGAACGGCTGCAAAAGATGGGGTGCACCGGCATGGATCATGGAGGTACGAGCCACCTCCATGACCAAACCGATGCGTCGCTCAACGACCCCATTCTGCTGAGGGGAGTCCGGCAGTGTGTTCGACTGGGTGATGCCCTCCGCATGACAGAATTGGCTAAGCCGATCGCAGGCGAACTCGTCGCCACAGTCAGGGTGGAGACGCAGCACAGGGAGGCCGCGGTGAACTCGCGCAACTACGACACCGTGGTGTAGCATGTGTAGTCGTCTACAAGCAACAGAAAGTAGCGCTCGCGACGTGGCCCATGGACGGGAGCTGGGCCCCAGACGTCCATGCGCACGGTCGGGAGTGGCACAGTGGTGGGGGGGAACGAGGAGGAGTGAGGAGCACGGCGCAGTCGGCCCTCGACGCAAGGAGTTCACGGGGGCACAGATGAGGGAGGGAGGGGGGGGAGCAACGCAAGGAGACCTAAGACAAGACCGTGCTGGGACATGTGATGCGGACGTGGGAGTGTGGGGTAACCTAAGCGGTGGTGCCACAGCAGCAACGGATGGGTGAGCGTCTGACACGAGCAAGCCGCAGCAACCTGAGTAGACGCAGGCACCTAGGGGGACGCCCTCACTGGGGGGATGCAGTGTCCAGTGTGAATAGGCTAGACATTGGGTCCCGGGGGAACGTGGCGAGGGGGGAACCTGTGGTGGCCTCGGTACCGACTGTGTACCGCTCGTGACCAGGAAACGTAGTGGTGACACCAAGGTCCTTAAGACAGCCGAGACCAACAAGGTTCCTGGAGAACAAGGGGATGTGCAAGCCTGTAAGGGAGCCAGAGGGAACTGCCGAGCAACGAAGGGAAGTGGAGCTACGTGCAACTACCGGACCTGAGGAGGGGTCAGCAAGCGCGACAGCGGCAAGGTCCGCAAGCGGCGTAAGCGCAGTGTGGTCGAGGAAGAAGCAGGCATACTCACTAGAGTCTAGCATGAAGGAAAGGGCAGCGGTTGCGTCAGCCGGTGGAGGAGCTAGCATAGAGCGAAAGCTAAACAAGGCAGGAGGTCCTACCCCTAACGTAGCAGGGGAGCCTAGACTACATACAGTGGACACACCTATATTAGGCAACGCAGGGTAATAAGGTCCAATCACAGTAAAGACATCAGTATTACATGGCATACAAAGCATAGCTTATCTGATCCATATCCATCTCAAAGACCGGCACACGGCGACATACCAGACTGTGCCAGTCGGAGAGGTCCAGGGTAGGGCCGAAGCGAAGACGGAAGAGATCGTCGAGGCGGCGGAAATCGCGAGCGGCAGTGTGACCGGGACGGTCGCACACTATGCCGCGGCGGGGGTCAGTCTAGAGCTGGTACTGGCAGCTCACATAGCTGAAGCTGCCACCCGACGTCGAGCTGCGAGGGCAATCACCACGACCACCACCACCAGAGCTGCCGGGCCACCCCGGTGGGAGGCGGCCTCACTGCTGCTGTTGCGGCTGTTGCGACTGCTGCTGCTGCACACTGGTCCCCTCGTCGGTACCGTCGGCCCTCGCACCACCTCCACAACCACTGCCGTCCCCACCACCCCTCCCTCCGCCACGCCCCCCTTTGGGGCGGCGGCCCTTACCCTGACGAGGCTGCGCTGAGGCCGCCGTGGTAGCAGTCTCAGCAGCAGGGGCTGTCTTAGCAACAGCGACAGAAACGTTAGAGTAAGTGCACTGGAAGGGAGCACAACCCTTGAAGATAGGGACCGACGCATTACCGATAGACTGAGCGATAGTGCGCTGGCGTGTCTCTTTCGCGAACAGGGTGGTGAGAAAGGTAGTAAGGGTGAGGTCACGTGGGTGCTGACTAAGGAAGTGGTCGCGCGCTGTGGTGAGGTGGTAAAAAAGGCACGTGGCAATGAGGTAAAGGGTAGCGCAAATGGGAGGAGGGAATATAGCGAGCTGGGCCTCAGTGCTAGCAGCGCGGTAGCTAGTCGCAAGGGCACGTAGATGAGTGACAAGATCAGCGACAGTGGGGAAGGACGCAAGATTAGGGAATAGCATGGGGAGGATGAGACGGCCGGCAAAGGCGGAGGAGGGAGTCGAATAGCGCGCAATGACCGCATCTCAGTACCCTTTCGCGTTGGCTATAGCCGTAAAGCGAGGACACTTAGACAGGGGGAGACGTGATTGATAGCAAGCTGCGCTACAGCGTCGCGCGATTGCCAGACAGCGCGTGCAAGCTCAGCAGCGGCAAAGGCCTCACGCTCAACAGACGTGGGGGCGTCAGAGAGGGCAGCAGGCGCGTCGGGGCAGGGGAGCTTACGGTCGAGATGGACGGCCAGGGAATAGCTGTCCTGGCGCTGACCCCTCAGCTGACGGCGAAGGTTGATGAGCCACGCCTCAGAATGAACCGCCTAACCCTCCGCGTCCAGGCGGAGCACAGCGTCTGCCATCACGATGGCCGCAGTGGCTGACGGCGACACGGTGGCACAACGACCTAGCAGCACGGCGACACGACAACACGACGGCATGGTGGCACGGTAGCACGACGAGCTGGGGCGGCAGGAACAGGGGCCGGTGGGATCATGGCCGGCTCGAATGGGGGCTGGCTCGAAAGGGGGCCGGCTCGAACTGGGGTCGGCTCTAATGGGGGGCCGACTCAAACTGGGGGAGGGGGGGGGGTGAACTGGGGCTGGCGAGCTGGGGCCAGCAAGCGAGCTAGGGGCCGGCGAGCAAGGGGCCGGCGAGCAAGGGGCCGGCGAGCTAGGGGCCGGCTAGCGTGGGGCCGGCGAGCGAGGGGCCAGCGAGCGCAAGGCCGGCGAGGGAGGCCGATGAGCGAGTGGCCGGTGAGCGCGGGGCTAGCGAGCGCGGGGCCGGCGAGAAATGGGGCTGGCGCAAACTGGGGCCGGCGAGCTAGGGGCCGGCTAGCGAGGGGCCGGCGAGATAGGGGCCAGCGAGCGCGGGGTCGGCAAGCGGGGGCCGGCGAGCGCGGGGTCAGCGAGCGCGGGGCTAGCGAGCACGGGGCCGACAAGCGCGGAGCCGGCGTGAACTGAGGGCGGCGCGAACTGGGGTCGGCGAGCTAGGAGCCGGCAAGCTAAGGATCGGTGAGCGAGGGGCCAGCTAGCGAGGGGCCGGCGAGCGCCAACTGCGGTGAGCGGCCAGCGGCGGGCGGCTAGTGACGGCGGCTAGTGACGGGCAACTAGCGGCGACGGGCGGGGCAGCGGCGGGCTAGGAGCCGCGCAGCGCGCTAAGGGGCGAGCGGGCGAGAGCTAGGGCTAGGGCTAGGACTATGGCGGAAACGCGGGTGGGCGGGGAGGACCTAACCTAGCGTGATACTATCTCAGAGTTACAAAATTGACTAAGATAGAGGGTACAAGGTGAGTTTGTACTATTGTGTTGTACTCTCTAAGAGCATGAGCCTATAATAACATACACATATAAGTTTGACACGCGAGCACTATTAGAACGCAGTCACTAACCACTGAGTCAAAAGGGCTTGTTAAGTAGCGGGTAAATGCGCCCATAACCCCCCAGGCTCTGGAGCTGTGACCCTTCCCCGAGGACCAAGGGCAACCCCAGCGCGTATCATGACAGGCACTCCTAGGCTTGAAAGGAGAGTGGTCAAAGCCAAGAGACCAATGGCCAGACACAGATTATGGGCTTGCTGATGCTTGGAGGTGCTGGTGCTGTTTATGATGCAGCTGGCGGGCTTTCTAGAGCTGGCCAAACATAGAAATTGGTTTGGGCATGGGTTGATAGAAAAACGTTGGTGCTGCTGCTTCGGTGGGAGTGGGTGGCATTCAAGGCATAAGTTGTGTGATTTTTTAGCCAGTGGGGGGCATGCGCAAAAGCTCCTTTTTATATACAGGTTTATTTACGTTTTTTTTTTTTTTCCAGTGAGAGGGATGAATAGAAAGTTATGACCTCATTGTGTGTTCCCAACTCTTCATTTTGATTACTGCAGCTTTATCCAGCAAGCTCGTTACGTGTACAGCTCTGTATGTAAGATAAATCTTCCTGATAATGAATCTGAGAGGGTATGATATATATTGATGAATCGCTTAGACACGTGGCATGTGGCGTCTGGGGCTGTAAGGTCTACCGCAATTCACTGCATCCTCTCGTCCTGTCCCAGAATTCGCCGCACCTCGACAAGCCGCGAATTTGGCGGCAGCATTTTCCGCCCGCCCCGCCCTGTGAACCTCGATCCCCTCCCCACTCCCTTCCGTTCCCCGCACAAGCCCGACAAGGCGGCTGCGCGGAGCACAAAGCAAGCAAGCCCGCACGGGCACGCAGCGGAGCAGCAAAAGGCCGCGCCCTTTGGGCGTGTCACGAGCTAATTTTCTGTCCAAAATCCTAACCAACCATTTAATTAGTTTTACGAAACGCTCTAAAACGTAAAGCAGCGCATTCAACCGCAACAAAGTGAACGCATGTGACACGACCTTAGGGGATGTCATTTTCGGGTGGGCCGGGCTGGCCAGCTGCAGAGATACTCGCAAGAAGTTTCTCTGCTTACTGCTGTAGTAACCATGCCATGGCTTCCCCGCCACGTCATCATGATCGCAGTGACGACGGATGGGGGAAGAGAGGGAGGACGCGCACGCAGCATGCGTGCTCCTCCCTTTTCCTTCCAACCCACTGACCGTCGTTGCTTATCGTCGCGTCGCGTGATGCCCGAATGAGCTTCACTGAACCATGTTTTCTCATTGCACACGGCTGGCTGGCGGCCACAATGCTGTACTTATACCTATAAATGCTGCCGATGAGAAATCTTCTGCCGACGCGCAGATCTTTCAGAGGACATGCACGAATATCCGGATGGTGGTAATACTGCACTGTACAGTAGGCGAACTTCAAGTTGAAGTCTCCTAACCCCAGACTTATTAGGCGACGGATTTCGCGGATTCATCTTCTTGCTACAAGGAAAAACTACGATCGCCGCCAGTTAGGCCGTCGATCATCCTGGATTGATGACTCATAGTCGCGATGCTCCTTGGTGTTTTCGGGAGATGCGTCGTCGCGTGCTACTAACTTACTAGGGGATGCTCGCTTCCTTTTTTATGGGACTGATGTGAAATATCCGTATCTTGGTTCGACTATAAGTACCCCTCACGGGATCATCCTGTTATCTAAGGCGGGACAAATCTCACCCTGGCTGACACGTCGGTCTAAGGAGATTTGATTTGATTTGTTCGGGCATTTCTCTCACTGAGGCTTGGGGTTCTTCTCGGGATCATCGCCATGGTCAGAGAATCCACAGTTGAGATCACGGAGGATCTAGAGCAGCCTTTTCTGTCAGATGAAATCGTTAGCCTTGACGGTTTCCGTCAACAGGGGCTCGGAGCGGCGGAATTAGGGTTAGATCTCCCAGATGACTGTTCGTCGGAATCCGTCAACGGTAAGTTGCCAGGAGTCAGGTGTCAAACCGTCACTGACGGAAACCGTTACGGTGTAGGAATTGACGATGCCCAAATCGACGTTTCTCATGAGACGGGCTTTTGGCGGGAAGGGCCGGAAGCGGGGATGCCAATACTGGAAATTTCCTCCATTTTCGAGGGCAACGCTAGTGTTAGGAGTCCGGGACTGCAGGTTAAGGACGGAGAGGAGGAGGGTTTGGCCTCGCGTGAAGATGCGTTGCTGCTGGATAGCAAGCTGGGCGGCGGTGCTAGAGGCGTTGTTAGCAGCGGTAGCAGTGGCGGCGACAGCAGCAGGGGGGGCAGCAGGAGACGCGTGGCAGCAAGCGACAATCTAGAGAGCCTGGACTACGAGTAAGTGATGAGGGGTGATGGTCGGTTTGATGCGGTGATGTTCAGTTATTGCCTGGTGTGCCGGGTTAATGATCGGCGACAGCAACAGGGGGGGCAGCAGGAGACGCGTGGCGGCGAGCGACAATCTCGAGAGCCTGGGCTACCAGTAGGTGATGATGTTTGGTTTGGTGCGGTGAGGGCCGGTTTGCTGGCCCCCGCTGGCTCCTGGTTCTCCTCATTGCGCCTTTCTTGGTTTTTGCGTGCGTGAATGTGTATGTGTACGTGCATGCGTATGTGCGATGTGAATTCATCCGCCCATGTCTCCCAGAGTGTTTGATTCCGAGTGGCACGACGGCGAGTGGCATTCGATGATGCAAGCCGACAGGATCCGCCACATGGCCCTCCGCTGGCTCTTGGTTCTCCTCATAGCGTCTGTTTCTCTCTTCGTGTCTGCTTGTGTCTGTTTGTCTCTCATGGTGCTCGATTCCGACTGGCATGACGGCGAGTGGCAGTCAATGACTCAAGCTGACAGGATCCGCCACACCGCCATCTGCTGGCTCCTGGTTCTCCTCGTAGCGTCTGTCTGTGTGTCGCCCTTCTGTATGTGCATGCATGTGTGTGTGTTCGACTCTCAGGGTGTTTGATTCCGAGTGGCACGACGGCGAGTGGCAGTCAATGACGCAAGCGGACAGGATCCGCCACACGGCCCTGCGCTGGCTCCTGGTTCTCCTCAATGCGTGTGTCTCCCTGTCTTTCTGCTTCTGTCTCTCTGCTTGTGTCTGTGGATGCCCTGCAGGGTCCTTGACTCCGAGTGGCACGACGGCGAGTGGCAGTCAATGACGCAAGCCGACAGGATCCGCCACACGGCCCTCCGCTGGCTCCTGGTTCTCCTCATCGGAGCCTGCACGGGGGCCCTCGCTTTCCTCATCAACCTCGCCGTCGAAGCCATCGGGAGCGCCAAGTTTGGGCTGGTGTTTTCGCATATCAAGGGACAGAAGTGAGCTCTTCCATTTATTGTGTTTGTGGTATGATTGGACGGATGTGGGGCTCTTGGTTCTTTTCATCGGAGCGTGCACGGGCGGCCTCGAATCCTCGTCAACCTGGCGGTTGAGGCCATCAGAAGCGCGAGATTTGGGCTTGTCTTCACAGCGAAATTTCGCATATCAAGCGACAGAAGTGAGATCTCCTCATTGGAAGCTTGCTTTTGCCATTGAAAAGCGGCAGCGGTACGGCAGTTGGTTCTCCTCATCGGATCGTGCACCGGGGCTCTCGCTTTCCTCATGAACCTCGCTGTCGAAACCATCGGAAGCGCCTCCCCCCTCCCCCCTCCCCCTTCCCCCCTCCATCGGAGTTCGGCCCCTCCCCCCTCCATCGGAGTTTGGCCCCTCCCCCCTCCATCACCACCTCCCAACCGCCTCCCCACTCTACTGTCATCTGCACCATCCCTCACCGTGCCTCTGAGTCGACTCAAAGCACGCTACTCCCCCCCCTTAATAATTCACCATCCCTCACAGTGCCCATGTAACCGGATCCCCTTCTCCCCCCCTTTTGAGAGATTTTTGTAGAATTCTAAAAGAAATCCTCCCTTGCCCTAATTGCTCTGTAATTCCCCATCCCTCAGCTTCCTCTGGGGTTTCCTGGCGCTGGCAGCGAGCAACCTGGGGCTTGTACTCGTTTCAACGTGCCTCTGTAACTTCATAGCGATGGAGGCAGCGGGGTCCGGTATTCCCGAGGTGAAGGGGTACCTGAACGGCGTCAGCACGCCCGCTGTACTCTCAGCCAAGACTCTCTTTGTGAAGGTGAGCGCTCCCTTGTAAAGGTGCCTGCCCTCTCTCTCGCTCTACCTCTGCAACCTTTTAGCGATGGAGGCAGCAGAATCCGGTAATCCCGAGGTGAAGGGGTACCTGAACGGCGTCAGCACGCCTGCTGTGCTCCCAGCCAAGACTCTCTTTGTGAAGGTGAGCGCTCTCTTTGTCGAGGTGCTCGCCCTCTCTCTCGCTCTGCCGCTGGGACTTCTTTCATAGCGACGGAGGCAGCGGGGTCCGGTATTCCCGAGGTCAAGGGGTACCTGAACGGCATGAGCACGCCTGCTGTGCTCTCCGCTAAAGCGCTCCTCGTTAAGGTGATAATCCCTTTGTTAAGGTGATTGCCTTGCTGGAGGTTAAGGGATACGTGGACGGTCTCAGCACGCCTGCTGTGCTCTCCACAAAAACGCTCCTCGTTAAGGTGATTCTCTCACAGTTAAAGCTCTCCTCTACTCCTTTAGGTGCTTAACTCCTCGCCAGCGAGTATTTCTACTAGTAAAGGGTACCAGTCTCTTACTCACTCACTCAATCACTCACTCAAGGGGTACCTGAACGGCGTCAGCACTCATGCATGCGATCATCTCTCTGCCTCCCTCCCTCCAGGCGCTTGGCAGCATTGGTGCCGTGGCAGGGGGTTTGGCAGTAGGCAAGGAAGGGCCACTCGTGCACTCTGGTGCTTGCATTGCAAACATTCTGGGCCGTCTGAGCCATCGGATCTCCGCCAGTCGCGATCTCAGCCGTCCGTTTCCCTCCAAGCAGAAGCCTCGGCTCCAGTCTGTTAACTCCTTTGCCTCTCTGGGAAATATGGGGTCTCTTAAAGCCCTACGGACGCCGGTGTGGGTGCACAGCGACAGGGGGCTGAGGGACCTGGTGACGTGTGGTGCTGCCTCCGGCGTTGCTGCTGCGTTCCTGGCGCCTGTTGGCGGGGTGCTGTTTGCACTAGAGGAAGTCACCTCGTGGTGTGTTGTGGGTGGTTGCGTGTTATTGGGGGATGTTGTGGGTGGCCGTGGGTGGTTGCGTGCGTTTGGGGATCATTGCGGGTGATTGGGGGTGATTGGGGGTGATTGGGGGTGATTGGGGGTGATTGGGGGTGATTGGGGGTGATTGGGGGTGATTGGGGGTGTTTGGGGATCATTGCGGGTGATTGGGGGTGATTGGGGGTGATTGGGGGTGTTTGGGGATCATTGCGGGTGATTGGGGGTGATTGGGGGTGATTGGGGTTGATTGGGGGTGATTGCGGGTGATTGGGGGTGATTGGGGGTGATTGCGGGTGATTGGGGGTGATTGGGGGTGATTGGGGATGATTGGTGGGGCGCTGAGGAGTCTATTTTTGAGGCGCCTCAAAAATTGATTGGGGGTGATTGGGGGTGATTGGGGGTTATTGGTGGGGCGCTGCCTTCCTTGCCCCTGTTGGCGGTGTGTTGTTTGCTCGAGACTGGAGGAAGTCACCTCATGGCATGTCGTAGGTGGTCTGCAAAACGCCCTAGATTCTCAAATGGCATGTTTCCCTCTATTGGAGGATTTTCTTGAGCGATGCTGTGGTGCTTCTACCAGGCTGCATCTTAGTGACTTTTGAGTCGATTCCAAAGTCGCCTCTTTACAATGCCACACAACACTTTAGCGATGCTGTGGTGTTTCTACCAGCCTGCATCTCCTTAAACGCTCCCTACCCATACCCCCCCCTTCCCCCCATTTCCCCCTCCTTCCCCCACCTCTCCCCAAACCCCAATCCCCAATCCCCAACCCCAATCCCCTGATACAGGTGGCGTAACTCTCTTATATGGCGGATATTCTTCACCAACGCTGTGGTAGCCATGGTCCTCCGAGCCTGCATCTCGCTGTGCGAGGGCGACAGGTGCGGCGGCAGCTTCGGGTCCCGAGGCTTCATTCTCTTCGACCGAAGCAAGTCCCAAACCGAGTTCGGGCTGCTGGAGATCGTCCCAGCAGTGCTGCTGGGAGTGGTGGGAGGAGTTCTGGGTGGCGTTTTCAACCACATGAATGTGAAGCTGTGCGCTTACAGGAAGAACCAGCTGCACAGGTGAGTGACGCACGCTTTACTGGCGAGACCTAGGCTTCATTCGCTTTGTCCCAAACCGAGTTCGGGCTGCTGGAGATCGTCCCTGCCGTTATACTAGGGGTGCTTGGCCGGGTATTTAATCATCTCAACGTGAAGCTGTGTGCTTACAGGAAGCACCACCTGTACAGGTGAGAGACATTCTGTGTGGCAGATGGCAGACGCTGCTTCGAGCTGCTGGAGATCGTCCCAGCAGTTACACTAGGGGTGGTTGGCGGGGTGCTGGGCAGTGTTTTCAACCATCTCAACGTGAAGCTGTGCGCTTACAGGAAGCACGACCTGCACAGGTGAGTGGGACACAAGGGTCGACTTTGGGGGGCTGCTGGAGATCGTACCGGCCTTTGGCTGGCTGTGCTCTTGGGTGTGGTGGGAGGGGTGCTGGGTGGTGTTTTCAACCATCTCAACGTGACGCTGTGCTCTTATAGGAAGAACCACCTGCACAGGTGAGAGACATTCTGCGTGGCAGATGGCAGATGCTGCTTCGGGCTGCTGGAGATCGTCCCAGCAGTTATACTGGGTGTGGTTGGGGTGACTTTTGAGTCGAGTCAAAAGTCACCTGGAGATCGTCCCAGCGGTCATATTGGGTGTGGTTGGGAGGGTTCTAGGTGGCGTGGTCAACCATCTCAACGTGAAACTGTGTGCTTACAGGAAGCACCACCTGCACAGGTGAGAGACATTCTGCGCGGCAGATGGCAGATGCTGCTTCGGGCTGCTGGAGATCGTCGCAGCAGTTATACTGGGTGTGGTTGGGGTGACTTTTGAGTCGACTCAAAAGTCACCTGGAGATCGTACCAGCAGTTATATGTAAGTGTGGCTGGCAGGGTGCTAGGTGGTGTCCTCAACCATCTCAATGTGAAGCTCTGCACTTATAAGAAGCACCCGCTACATTCTGTGTGTGGCTGGGCATTCTGCACAACGCTCTATCTGAAACTGGTGTAGGTGCGGCAAACGCTGCTTTGGCCTGCTGGAGATTGTGCCGGCTGCATGGGTGAGAGAGAAGTGTTGTGGCTGGGTGTGGTGTGCCATGCACCGTGCCATGATGCCATGGTGCATGGGTGCGAGAGAAGTGTTGTGGCTGGGTGTGGTGTGCCATGCACCGTGCCATGATGCCATGGTGCATGGGTGAGAGAGAAGTGTTGTGGCTGGGTGTGGTGTGCCATGCACCGTGCCATGATGCCATGGTGCATGGGTGAGAGAGAAGTGTTGTGGCTGGGTGTGGTGTGCCATGCACCGTGCCATGATGCCATGGTGCATGGGTGCGAGAGAAGTGTTGTGGCTGGGTGTGGTGTGCCATGCACCGTGCCATGATGCCATGGTGCATGGGTGAGAGAGAAGTGTTGTGGCTGGGTGTGGTGTGCCATGCACCGTGCCATGATGCCATGGTGCATGGGTGCGAGAGAAGTGTTGTGGCTGGGTGTGGTGTGCCATGCACCGTGCCATGATGCCATGGTGCATGGGTGAGAGAGAAGTGTTGTGGCTGGGTGTGGTGTGCCATGCACCGTGCCATGATGCCATGGTGCATGGGTGCGAGAGAAGTGTTGTGGCTGGGTGTGGTGTGCCATGCACCGTGCCATGATGCCATGGTGCATGGGTGCGAGAGAAGTGTTGTGGCTGGGTGTGGTGTGCCATGCACCGTGCCATGATGCCATGGTGCATGGGTGAGAGAGAAGTGTTGTGGCTGGGTGTGGTGTGCCATGCACCGTGCCATGATGCCATGGTGCATGGGTGCGAGAGAAGTGTTGTGGCTGGGTGTGGTGTGCCATGCACCGTGCCATGATGCCATGGTGCATGGGTGCGAGAGAAGTGTTGTGGCTGGGTGTGGTGTGCCATGCACCGTGCCATGATGCCATGGTGCATGGGTGAGAGAGAAGTGTTGTGGCTGGGTGTGGTGTGCCATGCACCGTGCCATGATGCCATGGTGCATGGGTGAGATAGAAGTGTTGTGGCTGGGTGTGGTGTGCCATGCACCGTGCCATGATGCCATGGTGCATGGGTGCGAGAGAAGTGTTGTGGCTGGGTGTGGTGTGCCATGCACCGTGCCATGATGCCATGGTGCATGGGTGAGAGAGAAGTGTTGTGGCTGGGTGTGGTGTGCCATGCACCGTGCCATGATGCCATGGTGCATGGGTGCGAGAGAAGTGTTGTGGCTGGGTGTGGTGTGCCATGCACCGTGCCATGATGCCATGGTGCATGGGTGAGAGAGAAGTGTTGTGGCTGGGTGTGGTGTGCCATGCACCGTGCCATGATGCCATGGTGCATGGGTGAGATAGAAGTGTTGTGGCTGGGTGTGGTGTGCCATGCACCGTGCCATGATGCCATGGTGCATGGGTGCGAGAGAAGTGTTGTGGCTGGGTGTGGTGTGCCATGCACCGTGCCATGATGCCATGGTGCATGGGTGAGAGAGAAGTGTTGTGGCTGGGTGTGGTGTGCCATGCACCGTGCCATGATGCCATGGTGCATGGGTGCGAGAGAAGTGTTGTGGCTGGGTGTGGTGTGCCATGCACCGTGCCATGATGCCATGGTGCATGGGTGAGAGAGAAGTGTTGTGGCTGGGTGTGGTGTGCCATGCACCGTGCCATGATGCCATGGTGCATGGGTGAGAGAGAAGTGTTGTGGCTGGGTGTGGTGTGCCATGCACCGTGCCATGATGCCATGGTGCATGGGTGCGGGTGCTAGAGGTCCTGCTCATCTCCCTCCCCACCTCCACCATCCGGCCTTTCCTCGTCTCCTGCCTACCATGCATCATTCTCCTCTCTCCCTCCTCTTACATCCGTTCTCCTGCCACCCTCTGTTCTCCCCAACCACAGGCACGGTGCATGGGTGCGAGTGCTAGAGGTCCTGCTCATCTCCCTCCTCACCTCCGCCATTCGCTTCTACGGCCCTTTCCTCGCCTCCTGCCTACCGTGCCCGGAAGACCCAGAGGAGGGAGGGGGAATAGGAGGGAGAGGAGGGATACGGGCACTGATGGAGGGAGGTTCTTTCAACTGCCCGAGCGTTGTCGGCACGGGGGATCACAAGGCCTTTGCCTGCCCGGATGGGCAGTACAATGATCTGGCGAGCCTGGTGTTCACAACCAACGATGACGCCATTGGGAATCTGTTCCGCACCGGGTCGTTCGGAATATTCACGTGAGTATTATAGAGCTGTCGAGTAGAGAGCGCCTGTCATGTGGGTAGGATCACTATTCTCACCATCATGGGCGCAGGGCAGTACAATGATCTGCCGAGCCTGGTATTTTCAACCAATGATGACGCTATTGGGAATCTGTTCCGCACCGGATCGTTTGGAATATTCACGTGAGTACAGAGAGGGCTTTTCACGTGAGTAGCACCACTATTCCCACCCACCATCACGGGCAGTACCATTCATGTTATAATGCTGAGCGTTATAAGGCTCACGTCATAATGATCTGGCGAGCCTGGTGTTTCACAACCAACGATGACGCCAACGGAAACCTTTGCAGGATGGGGCCGTTTGGAATATCCACGTGAGTATGAATGGACCGGGTCCTAGCTGGGCTCATCCTAGGACGTCCGTGCTCGCCAGATCATCGGGAATATTCCTAACTGGGCTTGCGAGCCTGGTGTTCACAACCAACGACTTTTGAGTCGACTCAAAAGCAACCAATGACGACGCCATCGGGCATCTGTTCCGCACCGGGTCGTTAGGCATATTCACGTGAGTATTGGCATAGCAATTATGGTACCATTGGGAGTATGAGTGGCGGCATGCTCATGATGGTGTGCTCATGATGGCATGCTCATGATGGTGTGCTCATGATGGCATGCTCATGATGGTGTGCTCATGATGGCATGCTCATGATGGTGTGCTCATGATGGCATGCTCATGATGGTGTGCTCATGATGGCATGCTCATGATGGTGTGCTCATGATGGCATGCTCATGATGGTATGCTCGTGATGGTATGCTCATGATGGTATGCTCACCTCTTAGCCTCCCACCGCGTGGGAGGGAGGGAGAGGGGCTCTCTTGAAATGGGCCCCTCTATTCACATGCGCACCCTTCTTCTTCCCACGTCCTGTTCCCCACACCCTTTTTGTGTTAACTCCTATGATTATCACGCCGTATTCACATGCGCACCCTTCTTCCCACAACCTTTTTCCCAAACCCAATCCCCCCCCCCCCCCCCCCCAGCTAATCCTCCCTTCTCCTCTCCTTCGCCATCTTCTTCGCCCTCGCCATCCTCACCTACGGCACAGCAGTCCCCTCGGGGCTCTTCGTGCCCTCCATCCTCTGCGGCGCCTCCTACGGCTGCATGGCCGGCATGCTCATGGCGCACCTCACCTCTTTGGCTCACACCGCGTGGGCGAGGGAGAGTCTCCTGCTATTGGACCGGACCTTTTCTCACAAGCGCACCCTTCTCCCCACACCCTACTTCCCGCTCCCCTCCCCCCCAGCTACTCCTCTCTCCTGCTCTCCTTCGCCATCTTCTTTGCCCTCGCCATCCTCACATATGGTATCGCAGTCCCCTCGGGGCTCTTCGTGCCCTCCATCCTCTGCGGGGCATCCTACGGTCGCATGGCTGGCATGCTCATGGCGCACCTCTTCGGCTCCCACCGAGTGGGCGAGGGCACGTATGCGCTTCTCGGCGCCGCGTCTTTTTTGGGCGGGTCTATGAGGATGACCGTTTCGCTCTCGGTCATCCTGCTGGAGCTCACGGGCAGCCTGAAACTTTTGCCGCTGATTATGGTCGTGCTGCTGGTGTCGAAAAACGTGGGGGATCTGTTCAATCGGAATATCTATGACTCCCACGTGCACCTGAAAGGGATACCCTATCTTCCAGAAAACTGCACTCACCAGGACTTTACCGTGGTAGAGGGTGAAGCTTATAACACGGATGCAGCAGAGCAACTTCAACTGCAGCAGCAGCAGCAGCAGCAGCAGGAGGGGGAGGAGCAGCAGAAACAGGAACTCCCAGGGTCGTTCTGGGGGCTACGCAGTCCCAGAAAGTTTTCCTCATCAGCCGATCTTTGGCCCCCTCAGTCACCCCGACTCACGCCCCGCCTGACCACCCCCTTCCCCGCATCACCCTCACTTGTTACCTCTCCTCTCACCACCCTCTTCAGCCCTCGGAGCCCGGGCACCCCTAATCTTCCTGGGGACACCACCACTCCTTCCACCCCTAGAGCCCCTGGTGGTGTCTCTCGCAGACGGGCAACAGCAGCTGACGCTGTTGCTGCTGCCAGTGGTGCCGCCGGTGCTGCTGCTCGTGCTGTTGGTGGTCTTGGTTCTCTTGGTACCGGGGATGCTGCTGTTGGTGCTGCTGGTTCCGGCTACCTTGTGGCTCTAGAGGGTGTGACTACAGTGAAACGGATAGTTGACACACTACGTGCAACGCAGCACAACTCGTTCCCTGTTGTCGATGTCAGCACTGGGAGGGAGCGTGCGGCCAGTAGGAGCGGTAGCAGCAGTAGCAGCTGTGGCATTGCCTGCAGTAGCAGCAGCAATGGCACGGGGGCCATCACCAGAGGCAGCAGCAGCAGTGGCAGCAGCAGCAGTGGCAGCAGCAGCAGTGGCAGCAGCAGCCTCAGTATCAGCACCAGCCGCAGCAGCAGCACCAGCAGCACCAGCTGCAGCAGCAGCAGCAGAGGGGGCATGGCAGGACATGGGCTTCTGCGAGTCAGCAGCTCTGGCACTGTTCTCCTACCAAATGCGGTTCAAGCAGGGTTACAAACAGCGTTACAAACAAGGTTACCAACATGGGCTCAAAGTGAGTCCCAAACAGGGTTTCTGGAGACTCAGACGAGCCAGGAGACTCAAACGACCTCCTTTCACGGGCTTATCCTGCGCAAACATCTTCTAGCTTTGCTACACTCCAAGAAGGCATTTCACCCCCAACCAACCACCTGCAGCACACCAAGCGTCGAGGGAAGGGCAAGAATCTTGCGAGATTTTGCCGCTTCTCTGGCCCTTGTAGGGAAATTACGGGTTCAGGACCTGGAGATTACCCCCGAGGAGGAGGGGATGTTTGTGGATCTGCACCCGTACACCAACCGGTCGCCGTATATTGTTACGGAGAACATGGGGATGCAGAAGGCTTATCTGCTTTTTCGGAATTTAGGGTTGCGGCACCTCTGTGTGGTGCCTAAGCCGATGGATGTGATCGGGATAATAACTCGCAAGGACCTTATTAATGCCATGTGTAGAGAGCACGATGCGCCAGAAAATCACTGTAGATGACCCATTTTGCAATCCCATGATGTTTACATTGTAAGCAATCAGCTCCTATTGAGCACACTATAAAGAGGATTCAAACAAGCCGAGCAGTATCGCAATCATAGCGTCAGGCAAGTTTTACGTGATCAAGTGAAAGAATTGTCAGAAAGAATAATTGAACTAGAATGTGTGAGTACAAGGGTATATAGACTAGGGTGTTGTACCCTCTAAGGCACAATCCAGTATAGTCTACAGTAATGACCTAAGTTACATTTGACACACCCCCTAGACTATATAGGGGCAGTGCCTAACAAGGAAAGAAGCAGCTCAGGGCGGCACTTCTAGTCCAGCCTCTGAGACAAGGGTCTAAAGACCTGACAAAGGAGTACAGACAAAACAAGAACAAGACCAGGGCGGCACTACTAGTCCAGCCACTGGGAGAGGCCACAAGGCCAGTCAGGGAAAAATATATATATAAAGGACAGTACAAAGTCAAGGCCCTAGCAAGTGAGAGGCTACAGGAACGAGACCTAGCTGTACACAGTGCCGCTGATCATCTTTAGGCGCAAGCGCCTTCGTAAAGATATCAGCTGTGTTGGCACCGGAGGCCAAGTGTACTACGCGCACCTGGCGGCGCTGCTGGAGCTCACGCAGGAGGAAGTACTGCAGCTGGATGTGCTTCGCTCTGCCCTCGAGTCGAGGCTCCTAATACAGGAGGATCATGGCCCTGTTTTCAGCGTACAGGACCGGGGCAAAGCTAGGCCGCTCACCTAAGTCAGTGAGCAAGAAGGTCAGCCAACGGAGCTCCTGTGCCACCATGGCACCAGCGTAGATCTCGGCCTCACAGCTGGACTGGGCAACAGACGAGGAGCGGGTAGCTCTCCACGAGACGGCACCTGAACCAAGGCTGAAGCAGTAGCCCTGCGAGCACCTGAGGGTCTCGGCGTCGTCTGCCCAAGAAGCGTCTGTGTGTCCAGTAAGGACCATTCGCCTGCGTCCTCCTAGCACTAACCCCATGCCCGATGTACTTGCAAGATAACGCAAAACCCTCTTAGCGGCAGACCAGTGCTGAGGTCGGTGTCTACCTGTAGCCACAAAGCGAGCCTAGATGCTGAGAGGGTATGCGAGATCTGGGTGAGTGCAAGTCATCAGGTACATAAGGCAACCCACCAGCTCTGCATAAGGACCACTGGGCTCTGCTGACTCCTCAGGAACTGGAGCGGAGAGCCTGTGGTCTAGAGGTAGAGGGGTGGACTGTGCGGAGGAGAACTGAAGGCCGAACCTCTGAAGGACCTGGAGCACCAAGTGTGAGTGAGTCAAAGTGATGGTGCGCGCTGCTCTGTCCCTAGAGATCTGCAAGCCAAGATAGTGGCGCAGTTCTCCAAGGTCAGTGCAAGTGTGTCTCTTCAGCAGCTCTGCCTTCACGAAGGTCAGTGCGTCCATGTCTGCTCTGGCAAAGACCAGGTCGTCTACGTAAACAAGGACGTAGAACGGGGTCTGGCCAGCACGAACGAAGAGCGAGGGGTCTGCAGAGGACGGAAAGAACTGCAGGTCAGCAACCATAGCACGCAGCGTATCGTGCCACTCACGGGGAGCCTGCCGCAGGGCATAGACGGGGCGCCGGAGAAGCCACTGGGTCCCAGGAGGGAAGGTACCAGTGAAGCCCTGAGGGCAGCGCAGGTAGACCTGCTCGTGTAGACTGCTCTGAAGAAACGAAGTGGAGAAGTCGAGGGAGTGAAGCTCGTAGTCACGCTGAGCTGCTACATGTAGCAGCACCCGAAGAGTAGTCATCTTCGGGGTCGGAGCGAAGGTCTGGAAGAAGTCCACCCCCTCACGCTAACTGAAACCTCTAGCCACGTAGCGCGCCTTGAACACAGGCGGCTCTCCAGGAGGGCGCTTCACCTTGAAGAGCCACCGGCCATCGACTACGTTCACCCCAGGTGGGGGAACTGCGTCGACGTAGGTGCCGGTGGATCTCCAAGATGCCATCTCCTGCTCCATGGCAGCTATCCACTGAGAGGCCCAGGGTCCCGAGACCGCCTCAGCGTAAGTGCGAGGGGTCGGGATGTCGAAAGCGTCGGGGTCACCCTCAGGGACTAGAAGCATAGAGCAGAGATGGGGAGCAGCCTCGGACAGGAAAGCAAGCTCATACTGGTGGTCCTCCAGGATGTCATTGCCGAGGGCAGGAGCACCCCAGACAAACGGAGGACAGGCAGGGTCAGAGACTAGAGTGGTGGCGTAGTCAAGGCGGCAGGTAGAGGCGAAGTCAGCGACCACAGCGACAAGGGCGTCGAGGCTCGAAACCGGAACAGACGGGTCGGTAACGAGAGAGGCAAGGACCCGAGGAACAAGAGGACGAGCGGCACGCAGGTAGTCAGACAGAGGCGGGGGAGCAACGACAAGGGAGAATGGAGGGGACGACGGGAGAAGGGGAGGACGAGACGCGTGGGAACGAAGCAACATAGGGTGAGAGCGCGAGATAGGGGAGACAGGTCGCGCACGGGAGGGACGGCGAGACCAGACGTGAGACGGAGGAGTCGGGTCAGGGGACAGAGGAGGGGACACAAGAGGGCAACGAGGGGGGAAACGGGTCGGAGACGAGTCCGGAGGAGGGAACACAGGGCCGTAGACAGGAGGAGGAGGAGGTACAGGCATGGGGTCAGGGGACGGAAGGCCGAGCAGGCGAAGAGCGGACACCGGCGGGGACTGCTGCGGCGGCTGTGTGACACCGACGCCGGGACCGCACACTGCCTGGCGGCTACCTCCAGAACTCTCCACGCCAGAACCCCCAGAAGGAACATCCCCAGAGCTCAGAACCCCTCGAGCACCGGTACCACCCCCAGGCCCGCCGGGACCAGCCACGACAGGAGTCCCAGGACTAGTACCCACCCCAACTCTAGCACCCCCAGAGGCAACCAACTGTTGCGGCGACGGCTGCGGCGGCGGTGACGACGGCTGCGACAGCGATGGCGACGGCGGCTGTGGAGGCGGCGGAGGAGGAGACACCTGAGAAGGGGCAGGCGGCGAGGACTGCGCCGTAGGACCACCAGATTCAGCACACTCCTCAACCGGGACAACCGACGTATGTGGGGTGACGTGGGACACACCAGAGGGGGCAGGACGGGGAGGGGGAGGAGGAGGGGCAGGGACTACCGGGGAAGGAGTGACCAGGAACAGGGGGGGGGTAACCGGGGGACCGCGGTGGGGGAAGCGACGGTAGTAGGAGATGGACTCGTCAAAGGTGACGTCGCGAGAGTGAAAGAAGCGGTAAGACGGTGGGTGGTAGTAGTTCCAGTTAGACGCGTCAAGGGGGAAGCCGAGGAAGACACAGGGAAGGGTGCGGGCAGTGAGCTTGTCTGTGCCAGAGGCACGAACGTGAGCAAGGCAGCCCCAGACGTTGAACGCAGACGCGTCACCAGGTGACCCAGACCAGAGGAGGGTCTGCGAAACCTGAGGCTGCTGGGGGTGCGGCCACAGGTTAAGCTGGTGAGCGGCGTAGCGAACGGCGAACGGCCATAGAAAATGGGGTGCCCCGGCATGGATCATGGAGGTGCGAGCCACCTCCATGACCAAACCGATGCGTTGCTCACCGACCCCATTCTGCTGTGGGGAGTCCGGCAAGGTGAACGTCTGTGTGATGCCCTCCGTACGACAGAAACGACCAAGGACACCAGAGGCAAACTCACCATCACGGTCGGAGTGGAGACGCAAGTCAGGGAGACCGCGGTGGACACGCGCACAGACAAGCCACGGGATAAGAACGGCAGGCACGTCGACCTTCTGCTCCAGGGGGAACACAGTGGTGTAGCGCGTGTAGTCGTGGACAAGCACTAGGAAATAGCGCTCTCGACGCGGCCCATGGACGAGGGAGGGGCCCCAGACGTGCATGTGCAGAGTCTGTAGTGGTGCTGCAGTAGGGGGAAACGAGGAGGAGTGAGGGGCACGGCGGAGCCGGCCCTCGACACAGGGCGTGCATGGTGGGGCTGGGGAGGAGGGAAACTCAGGGAAGGACCCGGGGAGGCCTAGGACGAGACCGTGCTGTGACATGTGACGCAGACGCGGGAGCGCAGGGTGACCTAGGCGGTGGTGCCAAAGAAGAGTCGGGTGGGTGAGAGACCGACAGGAGAGGGTAGCAGCAACCGGGGGAGACGCAGTCACCTGAGGGGGGGTCCCAGCCGGGGGGGTCACCGTGTCCAGTGTGAAGAGACTGGACACCGAGTCCCAGGGGAACGTGGACAGGGGGGCACCAGTGGCGGCCTCGGTACAAACAACGTACCGCTCGTGACCAGGGAACGTAGTGGTGACGCCAAGGTCCTGAAGGCAGCCGACACCAACTAGGTTCCTGGAGAACGAGGGGATGCGCAGTCCTGTGAGCGAGCCCGAAGGAACCGCCGGTCAGGGGAGGGTGGTGGAACTGCGGGCGACTACTGAGCCGGAGGAGGGGTCAGCAAGAGAGACTGCGGCAGGGATAAGAAGCGGTGTCAACGTGGTGGAGTCGCGAAGAAGCACTAGGAAGCGCCAGAGTCAAGGGTGAAGGAGAGCGCAGGAGTGGCGACCAAAAGTGAAGCAGCGACGGAAGCACCAAGGCTAAACAAAGCAGGGGATCCTACGCTTGACGCAGTAGGGGAGTCTAAGCAAGGCATACCTAAACTAGGCAATAAGGGGTAATAAGACGGAAGCACACTAGAGTCATCAGCATACATCACATGCAGAGCAGTAACAATCTTATCCATATCCAGATCAAAAATCTGAACCCTACGACAAAGCAAACTGTGCCAGTCTGGGAGCTCGGGCAACGGGCCGAAACGCTGACGAAACAGGTCGTCCAGGCGACAAAAACAGGGGACTGAGGTGTGACCGATCTTACCGCAAATGAAGCCACGGCGATGACCGGTCTGGAGTAGATACTGACAGCGCGCGTCACCCGAACCACCACCCAGCAGCCCACCACGTGCACCACCACCACGTCCAGCGCTACCACCAGCGCCAGGCCACCCGGGCGGGAGACCACTCGCCCGTCTCTGTTGTGGCTGCTGCGTCTGCTGCGACAGCTGCGGCTGCTGCGGCTGACGCAAGTCCGG